TTAGACTGCAAAGAAAACAAGGTAATCTATAGTGACCAAAAAGGGAAAAAAATGTGATACATACATGTATGACTTAATGTTGCGCAAACTGTGAAAAGAGCCTTAATTCAGAACAATCTGTAACTTCTGAACATTTAAAATGTTTTTTGTAATTTAAAAAATTCTTCAATCTGTTTTTCACATGTTACTAAATATGGACATTATGCTGAATGAACTAAAAATACACTCGAGAAGTCTTTTATGAACCTACCAATCTCTAATAAATGAACACAACTCATGGGAATATGTTGGACCAGGAGTCAATAATGGAGGGTCATCCTGTAGAACTTTGGTTAGGACCTCAAAATCTGTCTTACAGTCCTTATAAGGGAACTCTCCAGTAGCAAGCTCAACCTGCAAGAGCAAGAGATGTAAAGACTACAGTTCTTTAGGAATGTTAACCTGGAAAGACGTTAAGAAGTTAATGTGTAAATTTGTAAAGAAAGGAAATTTACAGGAAAGTTTACATGTAAAGTTGTAAAATAGAAAGGAAGTGATCTCCATATATGTTACTATGTAAATATGGTTGATCTTATTGAATGTTTAAAACATGTACAAAATTGAAGTGACCACAGGTATTGGTATTGCTGTTTTATTATCTTAACATTGAGCTTAAGAACTTTAAGAACATTTTAAAATTATTTGTGTAAAATACATGTATATGAAAAGGTACTCCTCATAGAAAAATCCAAATGCACTATACAGCACTCAGGCCTGCTTTCAACACACTAAAATTCTTGCCCTTAATAAGTTAAAGAGCTGTTAAAAATGTTCTTTGATAATTCAATTTGTGAATCATATGTTCTTTGATAGATTAATTAGTGAACCAAAGTCTTTGATTTACCAGTGTGATTCCTAGACTCCAAACATCAGCTCTGATATCATAATCAGGTCGCTGGGGGTCCGGTGGATCTATTCTCTCAGGCTACAAAATGAGGACAAACTTGCTACATCTCTTAAAAATACAAGAAATTGTTCAGTGTAATATCAAAATTTTTGCATTTTTTTGAGAGATGTGACTGGACTCAACTGACAGTGCTCAACCAATCAGTTTTATCAATAATCTTAACTTTTAAATCGCATAAAAGGCCAATGTTTTAAGAGAAGTGTAGTGGATCTGGAAAACTTTGCTATCAAAGGAGAATAAAGAAAGAAGAACTGGCTGTTTCGGATACATGTACTGGGTAAATTCCCCATTACAAAAGACAGTACACTCACAATAATATGATTTAAAATTTCTACTATTTTTTTCATCTTATTACCATAAGAACCATTTAAAATGTTTTAAGTCTCACTTACTGCCATGTAAGCAGCACAGCCAGCACTTCTGGTCTTGGCCTTGGAGTCCACCAGTCGCCCGCTGATGCCAAAGTCGCACAGTTTAACTATCCCATTCTGATCCAGCAGTATATTGGAGGGTTTCACATCTGATATGAAATAGAGAACAAATACTAGTATTACACCGCAGGGTTGTCCCTAAGACCTGGGGGAGGGGGGGGGGGAAATTTCCCCGCCTATAATGACGTAATCCCCAGGTTACTCTGGTATTCTCCATCATCACACCGTTAATGGGGAAACCCCCGACCCCCTTCTACTTTTTAAATGTCCCCTGCTATTTTAATTCTTAGGGACAACCCTGCACCATCTACTGATGGTCACTAGATATTCAGTTTGAATCATTCAATACAAAGAAAAAAATTTCACAAACTTGAAATCTTGCATGCAGATCAAGATCAGGGACACTACTTACCTCTATGAATGACTCCATGCTTTTCCTTTAGGTAGTCAAGTGCCTTCACAATCTGTAAAAATATCAATTCATTTAATATAAAATCATCTGTGCTTAACCTTAAAGAATGCAGTCAGTCTTTGTAATGAATATTTTGGATTGATTAGGGATCTACATAAAAAACATTTGTGGTCTCAATTGAAAAAAAGAAGACATTTATTAGTATGAACGTCTTCAAATGGCTTCAAATTCCTAATGACATGAATAGAAAATATTAGCCATACAAATAATAAGAAATATTGACTTGTGATAAACTTACTGCAACCGCCATCTTTCCCAGAATCTTTTCCGGAATGGGCATTTTAGTTCTTTTCAATAATTTATCGAGACAGGTAGACATTAATTCCATGCAAATCCACACCTCACTCTGCAAACAAATTGACATTTTCCATAGGGACAAAAAAATTTCACCTTCCCATGAATTAAAAGTTCTGCTCTCAATGCCTGAGAATTTATTTGAATGTATATAAAAAAAAAACATTTTTAAGTATATCTTAAGTATATTTCTGATGTTCTACATCAAATACTGCATTGACATTTATGAATTTTTTAAAAAAAATTTTTCTTCCTTACACCCATGCTAAAAAAAAAACTTACTGGTGTGATGAATGTTCCTATACACTGTACAATGTAGGGATAATCATGGCATTTTAAAACAACATCTAGATCCATTATTATTCTCTTGTTTTCTTCTTTATTTCCAGATCTTCTCATTTGCTGTGCAAAAAAAAAATGTATAGAGGAAATAATTTAAAATAAAAAATCTAAAGAATTACTTAATGTTTTTTTTCATTGATAAAAAAGAAAGAAGGGCTTCAAAAATGTGTACTTGTTTCCACAATTTAGAACCTTTCCTTCAGTAGTTTGGACTTTGAGGTGTTGTGACAACCAACGAGATGACGTAAATTAACCATTTGATCATAGGAAATATTTGCACAAATTAAACTCTGTGAAAATTACCCGATTATCGCTTGCTAATGCATGTTCTGGTGTGAAATATACAGTCTATGTCACCATTTGATGTGACGTAAATATAAGCATGTCACCACCTATTGAATGTCCAAACTATTGATAAATTTGCAATATTTACACTTTGAAGCCGAAAGGCTACAGAGCTGCATGGCCATCATGATAAAAATTTCAGTTGCATTTTTTTCTTGACATATTCAGCAAGACTGATTTTACCGATACCTTAACTGCCATGAGATGATTGGTCGGTTTGTGTCTCATTTTAATGACCTGTCCACATGTGCCATGCCCTAGTTCACCCAGGGACTCCATCTCATTAATATCTGTGTTGTGTTTCTACAGAAAAGAGAAATACCATTCCATCATCATAAAAAAAAAGATTAGATAAAGAAATAAATAATCCTAATGTTTAAATTTGGTATAACACAGGACTTAATTAACCTTTTTTGGTACAGGACCCTGTACCCTTTCAATTGGGAATTTTAAAATTGAAAAAATGGCAAAATTTGGAAATATTGGGGTCTTGTATTAAGTTTTTATGTTGAATAAAGAGTTAGATTGAAGGCTTCTTGCCTATTCACTTCTTTATTAATTATTAAAATCTCAAAATTCAAGTTTTTTTAAAATGTAAAACCACTGAAAAATTCCATCTATCTATCATTTGGGATTTTTTTTTGGGGGGGGGGGGAGGGGAGGGGGGGGGGAGTTAATTTTCAAATAGGACAGGGTCCTTTTTACTGGACCTGGATGCAAGGGTTATTAGGCCTGCAACACAAATTAGCACTCACCTGATTATTAAGAGTTAGTATTCCAGTCATCTTCATTATCTCTTTATACTTCTGTTCTATTTCAGCACTGCAATTAATAATTAACATTCAACCAACAATTCATTAGGCATACTTATACTGAAACAAGGGCAACACAAAGCAGAGTAACCCTCAAAAAAGAGCACATCGACTATAATATAAATTATTACTTGTATAACTTCTGTTATACACTCACTCACCCACACACACTCACAAGAGCGTTACTATATCCCCTCCAACTTCTTTGCAAGGGGATAATAAGAACTGACCATACATAATCAATTTATCTGAATACTGTATTCTTTTGTGCACAAATGTCAAGATTAGCAGAAAACAAATTTAGTTCACATATCTGTTTCAATGATGGAAAGGAACAATGCCAGGTCAGAGTATTCCTTACCTGTCTGGTTGTCGTGACCTGCCACCAGATTCCAGGCTTATCCCTCCTGGTCTGCGACGGCCAGATGAGGGTGCTGAACTTGACCTTGATGTTGCTGGGAAATCTCCTCCAACTGAAACAGAAATAAAATAGTACAAGCATGTTGTAATTTTTAGGCTGGTATTTTTGCATATGCTTTGTTTCCCAGTAATTTTTTCAGTGATTTGTCCTTTAGAAGATATTACTAGTTAATTAAAAAAAAAATCAAGATGCAAATTTAATTTATACAAGATATTACTAGTTAATTAAAAAAAAAAAAATCAAGATGCAAATTTAATTTATACAAGTATACAATACATATGATAATCCCCTGATACATATAGTATATATCTTAATATACAAAAAGCAGATGAAAAATAAAATATTTGATATGGATTTCACATTTTTTTTAAAAATTAAGCTATATACCTGGTTATTCTGCACTAGTATAACACACAGGAGAAAAGATCTATGTATTATTTACTATAATTTTTTGATGGATTTTATTAATGGATATTCTATAAAGTAAACTTTAAATGTAGGAGTAGCCTAATAGACAATAAAAAAAAAAAAACATTGATATTTCTCCTATTACAACAATACATTATTCAAGACATTATAATCTTATAAACATGTAAACCACTTGCTTCTGGAGTATTTCTTTCATTTAATCCTTTTCAAAAATGTGACCTCATCTTATATTTTCACACACCCAAGGATCTACATAATTAAAAAATATGAAAGCATAGCAAGATACACTATTAGTAAATGTTAGTGCTTCTAATGCTTTTTGTAGAATATATATCTAGTCAATATTTCAAACTTATGCACATTATTTACCCTAGCAACCCAAGATGCTTACATTTTATTCACTATTAGAAATCATACTATGAGTGACAATTGATTACAATATGGTTAGTGTATATTTGATTACATGTACATTTGTGGTGATGCAATGTTATAAAGCATTAATAAGTGAATGTTATAGTGTTAAAATGATTATAATGATTTAATATATCAGAAGATATATACACATATTGGTGTTGGCACTCCCTCTTTCATGCCCTTGACTCTCTGAAGTGCCTCTTTGATAGACACATTGTGGGCCACCTTCATCTAAACCAAAAAATGCACTGGATCTTATAATAATGAAAACAAAACACACAGTTTATAATCAAATATCATGCATTATTATTTAACTGTTCAAAAACAAAAAACACATTTTGTATATGCATATGCTGAAAAAATCCAAACAAACAAACAAACAAACAAAAAAAAAAAGAATTAAAAACCAAAAGAAACAAAAAACTGAATTTAAATAACAAGTATATCGAAGAAATCATAACCTTTTCCTACTCATGCTCTTTTAAGTTGGGGATACACAATTCAAACATCACATGCACTTTAACTGCATGCTCAATTGTGACTAAATATTAGATAATTCCAAAGAGACTCTGCATTAACTTGAAACAAATAAGAGCTCGTAAGAAGTTCACTAAAATAATATACATGTATGAGGGAAGGATGACAAAAGTCTTTGTCAGTCATCACTTGTATGAAGAAACCGGCAATGAAATTAAGAAGGTTCTAGGCCCCTTCCCCTTTTTGAATAATGAAAATTTTCATAACAAGTGACATTGTACTGATAAGTGATAAGACTGCATGATGACCATAAATTTCTTTAAGAATGATTTCTTATGTTTCTTTAAGGAAAGCAGGACATCTTCATTCCTAAGATGGGAAATTATACATTCTGTTTCCTTCGAAAACGTTTATCAAGTGCATCAAAAACAGTTATTTTCTGGTCATTAGCATTTATCATATGTTTACATCATACCTTTCGTATTTTACAAGGGATATATTTTTCAATCTGTACAATATGAGAGGAAACAAAAAAAAATTTAGCAACAGACTTGAACAGAACTCTAGAAGCTCTAAATATATCTGAAAGAGCAAGGAAAAAAAAGACTGAACTCATTTTAGCTAACCTACTGTTTTATATTTACCAGACCATTACTATTAATTGTTCAAATGCTTCTAAATTCATTATGACATTTGGATATCAAATTTGAATTTGTCACATCCTTCTCCTTTTCGTAGCAAATCATGTACAACAGTTATATTTCGCACATATAAATAATTTTAGAGTTATTTTTTTGACAAGTTACCTAACAACACAGACTAGCGACACAAAGGTACTGAAAACAACCGTGGATGATGACAAGCGACAATAACAAACTCACAGGCTCTTGGTTTGCGGGGACTTGCATGTCCTGAATCAAGCTTGAATGGCCTAGGAAATACCAATTCATTATTTGGGGCTAAGTGTCTCTGTCTGTCATTGTCTCTTGATTTATTTTCAACCTTTAATCGTCTTTCCAAATCGTTAATCCTTTGGTTCAACGACGACGGAGTAGACATTTTTAATCACATGACACAGAATCCGCGTCACTGAAATGCTTGAATCGGAAGTATTAATTGGCGGGATTTACAAAATGGTGAAAAGGCTGCAAATTACAAATTCAGTTCTTCCTCGCACCAGTGCATATCGTATAGAATTTTCCGGATAGAAGATATACAAAAAAGAATAAAAGACTATGAAAATTACAAGTACCTCTATGATCATTTGGTAAATTTTATCTTATTGTTCAAATTCTTAATTTTCTGTTGAAAGGAGGCAGGGTTTGGGATGATAGAGACGGTTCAGGGATGTTAAAAGGGAAGATATATAATAGAACAGAGGGAAGTTGTCGGACAGGAAAGGAAAAAGAGGGTTCACAGAGAAAATGAAGGCGGAGGTGGGAGTGAGTTGACAATGAGGAAGAAGCGAGTTTCAAAGGAATAAAAGAACTCACTTTACAAAATATAGCTTAAATATATGGCTAAACAATCAAAGCATGTTTTAAAATTTGATTTTTAATATTACATAAATAAATTAGTCACATACTTCATGTTTTTCAATAAGTAAAATGAATCGAGCTCGAAAGACATAAAATTAAAAACGAAAGTAGTCCAACATTTCCACGATTGATTAAAATGTAGTTAAATTAACATCATTTTTGCATTTTATTGCAAAATTTGTTTCAGTTTAAATGTTTTAGAATAAAAGTAAACTAAATCTCGAAGACTGTCAGGATTGAAATGATATTAAGCTCCAGATTAATTTTGCGGCCTAGCTCTGCATGACCAGGAGGTTATATAAAGGAGTTGCCGTTAATCATTCTTTCACTTGCTCATGGCATGAACGCGTGATCATGTTAGAATTGTGAACATGTCAACAAAAGTTTTGCGATCACTTAGTTCTTTAGCCTCAACAGTCGAAAACAGCAAGAAATATGAGGTTTGTAAATTATGCAATGTTATTGTTTGCCGTAATATTTTAATTGAAAATCTCCGTGCAGATTATGGTTTTTTTTTTTTTTTTACTTTTTACAATTACATAAATATATTTTGTAGAGTGACAAAAGGTTTTCTTAATAACAGTGAAAATAGTAAAAATAAATAAAGATAACGTGTTTTGATCCAAAGCATATATGTAGGTTTAGCATTTGCAATTGGGATCAAACATACAGTTTCAAGCACAAGGGCTTGCTCCCGGTGTGTAATAAATATTTATTTTTTAATACAAAAACAGAAGAAGAGAGGATGCCATTTTGGACCCTTCCACTCTTCACCTCTATTTTCATTATAATTGATAATAAGACATAATGCTTGAATCATCCCCTTGGAGCCTTTATTTGCACATTTCAGACGAATAATAATCCAAACGCATTCTTTAGGACATTTGTCGAGGACAGAAAGAGAAAATACATTGGGAAACCTCAGAGTTTTATACTAGTTAAAATAACTGCTGATTATAAATTTGAAAAACACCACATTCTAATTCCATACTGGAATGTAAATCTTCGAATTTACTTTCTAGTTTTTGAAAATTTTTTCTTTATATTGGAAAATATAACTAAAACAGAGGTTGTAGCCAGGAAGGTGTCCAAAATGATGTCCTCCCTTGTGTTGTTTTTAAGTATTTTGTATATGATTTTTTAACAAATATTTATTGCTGTTGGGAGCAAGCCCCTGTGGTTTCAAGCAATTTAGCTAACCTTGCTTGTATTCAGGCAAGAAATTGGTCATTATATATATATATATATATATATATATATATATATATATATATATATATAATTATATATATATATATATATATATATATATATATATATAATTATATATATATATATATATATATATATATATATGTCAAGAAATTGGTTCTGTGTCCTTAGCTGAATACAATTTTACCCCAAGGGTTGGGAGATTAGGCAAACAGACATATATATATAATACTGTTTACCTCACCATATCAGGCCTTTCAAAATGTGCTGGTACCCGGTATTTTTACTCGGTTGAAATCATGATCAGACCAGCCAAAATATTCATTGGTCAGGAGAAGAATTTGATAAAATATTTAATTTAAATTGCCTTAAGCAGTACCTCTTATTTTCGTTTCAGTACCACCTGTTTCTAATCTTTTTAAAAGCCCTGCCATATCATCAAGCTAATTTCTATTGTTCTTTTTTAAAGAAATCACTTTCTTAGTGTTCAGAACTTACCAGTATATATTATTAAGAAATGAATGGATTTTTTTTTTTAAAAATCACCCACAGGTGTGGAGAAGGGCCCAGGTATGTATTCCATGCCTGTTGGTGAATTGTTTGCACTCCAGTATTCCACATTCTATAGCCTCTAACCTTAGGTTCCTCTAATTGACATTTTTTTTTTTACTTTGACAAATTTGATTCAGGCATTATTTCAGACAGATTCCTGAAATACACATTTTATATGGTCTTCATATATATAATCTTTGAAAACCACCAAAGTGTTTAAAAAAGTATAGATGTATATCTAGTGATTGGTCGATAGCTTATCTCATCCATAAAATTTTGGTTAACATCAGCAAAATGATGCTAGCAGAATGTGAAATAGAAAGCTATTGATTGTTTATCTACTATTGATTTCTCAGGTGTTGAACTTTTAAATCTTGTAACTTTATGTTGCTTGTCGAGTAAATCAGTAAGCTAACTTTGTCTTGCAAGTCATTATGACTGACTCTGCGCAAGTTTTCTTTGTACTAATATTCAGTGGCACCATGGGAATCCAGACACTTCACCTTCTGAGTGATATTTTTTGGAAACTAAATTTTAACACATACTTTTGGTTGAACAATCCTATTCCACATTGATGCAAAGGTTACTGATCATTCACCTTCATATTTTTGTTTAAAAGTTTTATTACTGGATGCAAAGGTTACTGATCGTTCACCTTCATATTTTTGTTTTAAAGTTTTATTACTGTTGCATTTCTTCTAATGATGGCCTTTAAAGCTTGAGGTTAGAATAAACACAAAATAAATTTCATTAGTTGACAGAAAATTCCCCTTTGTTCCATTTCGATGCTATTATTTCCCTACTGAATTGATACCGGAACCGTTTCAGTAGAAAAAATCGCCGGGAGTACTCTATCTATTCGATCAATACATAGGACTCATGGTAGGTGCAACTGGTTGACAGGGGATGTCCACTCCTCCTAGGCCCCTGATCCCACCTCAGAAGGTTCCAGGGTCCATGCTTTTTTTATTTAGATATATGCAATACTTTATAAAAATAAAAAGAAACACATGAGAGGTTAAAAAGATATGTGGATGAACTAAAAAAGAAGTGCCGAAAAGTAACGTCATAAAAACCTCCGTAACATTCCTGCTGTGATGCGATAGACAGAACCTTATGTTGTGTTTATCTTAATATTTAAAAAAAGTTTTATATGATCGAATGAAATTTCAGGGAAAAAATAGAAAGGATTTTTAGTAGGTCAAATTTTATTGATAACTTTAGATTATCGGTATTAAAGATTTTATATCTGAATCAGTTGTGACATTATGTTTGGATCAACCCTTGTATACTGTAAAATATCACATATTTCCGTGGGGTCAAGTTTTTGAATTTTGAGGTAAAAATATTGATATGTGGTATTTTGATATCGTAGTTAAATTGATTTTGTAGGTGAGTTGTTAGGCATTTGAAATTTTACATTTCGTGGAGGACATAAATTTGTGGATCTCTCCATACCACAAAAACAGCGAAAATTAAACCCGCATGAAAATTAACGATTTCACAGTAATACCGGTAGTTAATTCTTTAATATCACTCATTGAAGTACCTTACTTTATGATACCAAAAGATGTTTGTTTAACGTGTAGTCAGCATTAAATAGCCTTGAGATGTATATTAATAGCCTTGACATATATATGAACATTAATTTATGAAAAAAAAACAAAGATTGATAGCAGAGATTGAGTAATTAACCTAATTTTGAGCTAGGGATGAAGTTATCAGGATTAACAAGGCACCACAGTGACTGTATATACATTGTATGTTTTATGTGCAATAATTATATAGTGCTGTAGAAAGTAGATCATTTACCTGTGTCTCAGTGCATGTTTATATGTTACAGTGTCCTTGTTATAGTGAAGTAGAATTACTAACAAAAATTAGAAGGCAACTTTATGCATTGTCATATGTCATTTAAGCTCATGGTTGCAATATTCTAAATTCTAAGGTAGTTTTTCCTGACCAGATAGTCACTTTATTTCTATTTTATGTGTAAATGGAAGTCAATATTTGCTTTTACATAGCTTATCTAAATGGGCTAATATAGTCGTGTGTTAATTTTTGCATCCGCTGCACGATATTGCATAATGTATGATGAGAATTGTCTCAGTGTCTGAAGTTGAATGTTTTATGTCCCAAATTCAGAATACCTATATTTTATTAGCTCACCGGAGCTGAAAGCGCAAGTGATCTTTTCTGATCACCCATTGTCCGTAGTTCGTCCATCTGTCAACTTTTCACATTTTCATCTTCTTCTCAAGAACCACTGGGCCAATTTAAACGAAGTTGGTGCAAAGCATCCTTGGGTGAAGGGGGATATAAATTGTTGAAATGAAGGGCAAAGCCCCCTTCCAAGGGGAGATAAACAAGAAAAGACAAAAATGGGGTGGGGTCATTAAAAAATCTTCTCAAGAAACACTAGGCCAAAATAGCTGAAACTTATGTAGAATCATCCTGGGGTAGTGTAGATTCTAAATTGTTCAAATCATGCCCTCCCTGGGGGGACACAATTGGGAATCCAGTCCAAGTTTTACATTGAAATATGTAGGAAAAAATCTTTGAAAATCTTCTCCTCAAGAACCACTGGGCCAGAAAAGCTAAAACTTGTGTGGAAGCATAAAGAGATAGTGTAGATTTTAAATTATTCAAATTATGACCCCAGGGTTAGGGTGGGGCCACAACTGGGAATCCAAGTTTTAGATTGAAATCTATAGGAAAAATCTGTAAAAATCTCCTCAAGAACCACTGGGCCAGAAAAGCTGAAACTTATATGGAAGCATCCTGGGGTAGTGTAGATTCTAAATTGTTCAAATCATAGCCCCCTGGGGTAGGATGGGGCCACAATTGGGAATCTAAGTTTTACATTGAAATATATCAGAAAAATCTTTAAAAATCTTCTTGTCAAGAACCACTGGACCAGAAAAGTTGAAACTTATGTGAAAGAATCCTGGGATAGTGTAGATTCTACATTGTTAAAATCATGGTCCCCTGGGGGTAGTGTGGGGCCACAATAAGTTTTACAAGGGGAAAATCTGGGCAGGGCCAAAGTTACTTAGGTGAGTGTTATGGTCCATGGGCCTTTTGTTTTTCAATTATACTGATTTTGCAACAAGTCCCAAGAACCGTATATTGACTATTCAAGTTTTCAGTAATATACTACTGGAAACCTGAAATGTTGCTATTTCAGGATGATTTTATTTAAGTCATATCTTAAAAAATCCTTCATATTAACTTTAAAATTTAATTCAACCAGTTAACCAGGACCCTGTCTGAATAAAGCCATCCAGCCCCTACTATTTCACTACAAGGAAGTGAAATAGTAGGGGCTGGCTTTAGTCAGACTGATTGACAACCCTGATTTTATTACGAGGAAAGATTGCCATTCAGTATTATAAAATGGAAAAAGGGGATAGGTTTATGTCAGGCTAAGCATTCTAAAGAGACTTCAGAAAAGTGAAAAAAAAAATTGGGGGGGGGGGGGGGATCACTAATAGGTAAAAATAAATTAGTTTAAATAAGAACACATTAAATTGCACATATCTTGTGTGATTGAAAATTAAAAATTCATAAAGAGTTTATGCAATCAGGAATATTTGTTAATTTTTAGTAACATATTTTAACCTAGAGAAGGGACATCCATTCAGGTTTCACATAAACAATATATGGCATAGTAGATGCACCAAAAGCAGTACTCGGTATCTCAAATAATTATAGTAGCTTGTTTTTTTTTTCAAGTTTTATTAAGTGAATTTAATAATGGGAGGAGGGGGATTTCCAAAAATTAATATAATTTATAATATCCTCAACAGTGAAATACTGTAATTTCTTTATTGAATAAAAGTGATATTTTGTAACAGTGCAAAAGAATATCAAAGTGATATTTTGTGTGAAAGAGTATCAGAGGTGTGGCAAAACTCAAGATTTTCCTTCACTTCACGGAGAGTGTTGTAAAAGAAAAAAATTATGCTTAAATATACCTGCATGCAAAGTGTGAAGCATAGAGCTCTAGCTATCTTGAGTTTTATTTATCAGTTTGTTAGGATTCAGTATTGGAATGGAGGTGCATGTACATATATATACTTCTCAGTGTTTTTTTTCCTTTTGAACTGGGTTTTAATGAACTTTATATATATACATATAGGTTAAAATTCTGAACTGTGTCCTACAATTTGAATGACGTACAACTTTTTTCATTCATTTATGTAGGTTTATGAAAGGCATATATGATTAAACCATATATCTTTACTTCATCATAGTCTTATGAGAAAAATAAAAGTACATAATTAATTCTTCTTGTAATATTTCAAGATCTTTCAATAAGTTATCTCATTTTGATAGTACATGTATATAAATAGTCCATCATTATCTTAATTACATCATATCTTTACTGAATTAACTTAAATTAGAAAATAATGAATTGGATTTACATTTAGTTTAATTGCATTCACTTTTTTGTAGGAGGCAGTTACAGCATTAAACACACTTCAGAGCAATGCACAGACTCTGGAGAAAATACGCCAGCAAGGAGGCAAAAAGGCCGAGCTCAACATCCCCAACATGATCAAGTTTGCGGAACGAGTCGGCATCACAGTAAGTTTATAGTGTCCAGAATATGATCAAGTTTTAATTGGTTGTAATAAACACATTCTGCTGAATGTGTAAGAACAATGAGTTGGAAGTTCAATAACTTACAAGGAGAACAATGTTATGGAAATTATATAATCAGATTTTAAACATATTTAAATTTGATAATAAAGTCTGAATGGCAATAAAGCCTAGTCAGTGGAAATTAGAATGAATAAAGTTATTTTGCAAAAATTGTTTAAAAAAAAAAATGAAGAGATATCAGTTGAAAATTTAGAAAGTGTCTCCATCAAATTTTAAATAAAGTTCATTTGGAGACTCTTAACTCTTAATTCACTATTGTGCCAAATAGTCCATGTAGTCCCCTACCAATGTTTGCACTAAAATTTAATTGTGCGAAAATAAATGTGCCTACTTAAGCATGCACACAGAATCTAAAGGCTAATGCACTCTGAGTGACCTCTAGTATTGTCATAGTGGTCCAAGTGTGAACCAGGAAATTATGGTTGTTTTTCTTTTAGTTAGATGATGTGGATAAACTCTCCATAATCCATGTAAGTGGGACGAAAGGAAAAGGATCTACATGTGCCTTTTGTGAGAGCATACTGAGACATCAGGGATACAAAACAGGATTCTTCAGGTTAGCTTCCACAGCAGAAGCACGATGAATTGAAAGTCGTACAAATATTTATAAACACTGTCTCAAACATACTCTTATTTTTTACTGCAGTTCACCACATCTAGTTGAAGTTCGAGAGCGTTTCAGGATCAATGGAATTCCAATCACAAGGGACAAATTTACGGATTACTTTTGGGATGTGTTTGGGAGGTTGGAGAAAACAAAGGTCCAGTTGCATTCAAGTTTATTCAAAATCTGGAACTTCTTTAAATTTAATCCCACAAATATACCAAGTCTTTGCTAAAGAACATTTTCTCAATAAATTCTAATCAAAGTTTTTTAGACTTCAAACAAGGGAACCTCAAATCTAATTTATTTTTAAAAAATACAGTAAATGTTGAAAATGATCTTTTTTTTGTTCCAAAATCAGGAGTCTTTTGATGGATCCATGCCAACATACTTCTCTTTTCTGACCGTGATGTCCCTATACGTGTTCCTGAAAGAGGAAGTAGATGTGGCAATTATGGAGGTTGGGATTGGAGGGCAGTATGATAGCACAAACTTAATACGGAAACCAGTTGCCTGTGGAGTTGCATCCCTTGGTCTAGATCATACCTCTATACTTGGCGATACTGTTGATAAAATTGCCTGGCACAAAGCTGGGATATTTAAGGTACTTTAAAAACTGTGATTCATTTGTAACAGTAAAACTCGGTTATAGTGAAGTTCTGGGGACCTGAGAATTTACTTTGCTATATCCGTAATTTGTTATATCTGTATAACAAATTCATTAAAGTATACATAGCGACTTTGCAATATAGATTTTTTTTTCCTTTCCTTGAAGTATGACTACCAAATGTATTAAGGGAAGTATAAAATATAAAATTTACCCTGGAGTTCAAAAATTTTCGGATGAATAGTGTTCTAAATATATATACTTACAAAGTAAATGTCAGTTCAAAATTTTAAAAACTAAATTCTTAAAAAAATTCACTATAACAGATGTAAATTTCGTTATTTTTAACTTCTAGGGGAGACAGAATCAGTTTGCTATAACCGTAAATTCATCATATCCGAGTTCGTTATGTCCGTAATATTTTACAAGGAATTGTTAAGAAATTCTCCGGGGATTGCAGAAAACTTCACTATATCCGTAAATTCGTTATATCTGTGTTCGTACTAAATGAGTTTTACTGTATCTGTAGTCAGAATTTTTAATCTAACTTTACATTGAATACCATATAAAGAATATTTTGAGATGTGTTTACTGCGTTATAATATGTGTGCCATTCATTTTTCAGCCAAGTGTACCAGCAGTGACCTCACCACAGCCTGATATTGCTTTAAATGTCATAAAAGAGCGGGCCAAAGAAATTGGGGTACAATTATACATTTCCTAACCAAAAAAAAAGAAAACTGTATACAAAACTGGTACAGATCTGAAGATAAATTTGGGATCTGCTATGTTTTTTTGGTTGGATGTGACTTTTATTAGGTCACCTGAGTAAACTCAGGTGACCTATTGCTATCCATTTTTGTCCATCGTCGTACATCGTTTGTCGTTCGTCGGTCGTAAACTTTTGAACATTTTTAGCTTCTTCTCTTGAACCGCTCAACCAATTTCAACCAAATTTGGTATGTAGCATCTATGGATGAAGGGGAACAAAAATTGTGAATTTCATGGTCCCTGCCCCCCCTGGGGCCTGAGGGATGGGGCTAAAACCACCAAAAATAATGCAATCTTTAAAAATCTTCTTTACTCCTGGACATCAAGCAAACAAACTGTTGGCATCATTGTAATAAGCATGAAGCCCTCTACCAAAATTTTGAAATTCATGGCCCCAGGGTCAGGGGTTCTGGCCCCAGGGTTGGGCTATATAGATCATATAGTGAAAGTGCATTATTTCTTTGAAAATCTTCTTCTCTGCTCCTGGGTATTAAATAAAGTTACTAAGTACATAGTTATGATGAGCAAGAGTGCCTCTTCCAAAATTGTGAAATTCATGGCCCCAGGGTCAGGGGTCCTGGTGTTAGGGCGGGGCTCTATTGATTTATATAGTAAAAATGCATTATTTCTTTGAAAATCTTCTTCTCTGCTCCTGGGTATGAAATAAAGGAACTAAGTACATAGTTATGATGAGCAGGAGTGCCTCTTCCAAAATTGTGAAATTCATGGCCCCAGGGTCAGGGGTTCTGGTGTTAGGGCGGGGCTCTATAGATTATATAGTGAAAAAGCATTAATTCTTTGAAAATCTTCTTCTTTGCTCCTGGGTATTAAATAAAGTAACTTAGTACATAGTTATGATGAGCAAAAGTGCCTTTTCAAAAATTGTGAATTTCATGGCCCCAGGGTCAGGGGTTCTGGTGTTAGGGCGGGGCTCTATAGATTATATAGTGAAAAAGCATTAATTCTTTGAAAATCTTCTCTGCTTCTGGATATTAAATAAAGTAACTAAGTACATAGTTATGATGATCAAGAGTACCTCTTCCAGAATTGTGAATTTCATGGCCCCAGGGTCAGGGGTTCTGGTGTTAGGGTGGGGCTCTATCAACTATATGGTGAAAATGCATTAATTCTTTGAAAATCTTCTCCTCTGCTCCTGGGCATTAAGGTGATAAACTAAGTACATAGTTATGATGAGGAGGTGGGCCTCTTCCAGAATTGTGAAAGTCATTGCCCCTGGGACAGGGGTTCTGGTGTTAGGGCGGGGCTCTATTGATTATATAGTGAAAATGCTTTAATTCTTTGAAAATCTTCTTTTCTGCTCCTGGGTATTATTTAAACAAACTAAGTACATGGTTATGATGCATAAGGATGCCTTTTCAAAAATTGTGAATTTCTTGGCCCCAGGGTTAGGGGTTCTGGTGTTAGGGCGGGGCTCTATTGATTATATAGTGAAAATGCATTGATTCTCTGAAAATCTTCTTCTCTGCTACTGGAGATTATTTAAACAAACTAAGTGCATGGTTATGATGCATAAGGATGCCTTTTCAAAAATCGTGAATTTCATGGCCCCAGGGTCAGGGGTTCTGGTGTTAGGGCGGGGCTCTATAGATTATGTAGTAAAAATGCATTGATATTTTGAAAATCTTCTTCTCTGCTACTGGAGATTATATAAACAAACTAAGTGCATGATTATGATAGACAAGGATGCCTCTTCCAAAAATTTTAAATATATGGCCTCAGTTTTTGGGGTTCTTGAGGAGGGGGGGGGGGGGGGGGCTCTATTGATTACATAGTGAAAAAGCATTAATTCTGTTAATCATTAATTAATCCTGTCTGCTCCTTAGTGTTGAGCTGATAAATACATTGCTTAGCTATGATGAAAATGGGAGCTTCGAACAGAATTTTTAAATCTTGTGGTCCTAGGGTCAGGGGTTCTGGCATAATGAAGGGGGGGGGGGGGCTTTTGATAATATAGTGGAAAAGTGTTAATTCTTTGAAGTCCATAGTTATGATGATGAGGGTAACTCTTCCAAATTTGTAAATTTCTTGACCCTTGGTCTTGGGTTCTGGTGTTAGGGTAAGGCTTTGTTTAATCTGTAGTGAAAATGCATTGTACCTGTGAAATTCTTCTCTGCTTCTGGGCATATTGGAAGCAAACTGAGTAAAAGTTTAAATGATATGAGTAAGCATATTTCTACCAGATTTTTAAACATCTGGACCATTGGTCTAAGCATTCTGGTCCTGGGCAGGGCTCTATTAATTTGTATTCTACTGAGAGAAGTTATTCCCCTTTTCCATTCACCTTTGATAATTAATCACTGTAAATAATGTATTTGAAAGGTTAATAGAATAAGATAATTATGCAAGAATGTTTATCGTATAATTAAAAAAGTACTCTCTTAGTTTTAATAAACAGGTAGACCTGTAAGTAATAGATAAATAAAAATGAGACAAAAATAACTTATCTTATTAAAAGTTCTTCAAAGACCATAAGAGAGGTCAATGCTAGAGGTCTTAATATGGGTTTATAAATAGTACAGAAGCACTAATAGTTTGTTAATAGTTTGCATAGTGTTAAGTGGGGGACAGATTAGAACTTAATTTATGAGTTGATACTGAATACTAGACTAATTATTTTGTTGATCCTGATCTTCCTTACTTCTCTTGCTTTAGGGCAACAAAGCTTCGTCTATCAGTGTATTTAACTTCTAAATTGTTGTATTATACTCAGGTGACCGTTAAGGCCCTTGGGCCTCTTGTTAAACAAGTTGACTGTGTGTTTTCTATCCCTGAGCCTTGGTGAGGGGATAGAAAACGCACAACGAGTTGGACTAAATCATATCCAACCATATACCATTGGAAATTCTTTTTATCACATGTTTTACAACATATAGCTAGCACATGTTTTGCACTGTTTTAATATATGAATTTTTATATATGAAATTATATATATATATAGGCTAAATTTGACTTCATCAGTTTCACACAAAAAAACATTGTGATGCCACAACTTGTTTGAAAACAATATCATGTGACTGATATCCAGTACATAAAGGAGTAAACATTATTGATCTGGCCCCAGGGCCATAAAACTTAGACCAGCTCACTTTTGATCTCAGTCTCACTTTTACCAAAGGAATTAATAGTGGAAAAGAAAGACTGAGATCAAAAGTGAGCTCGTCTAAGTTTTATGGCCCCAGGGCCTGAAGTCTTTACCAGTCTGTTAAATTACACTTCATTTTCAACATGTTCATGAGTAAATCTTTGAGTCATTTTGTTCAAAAAAGCTCCTATCTTCCCATTGGTACAGTGTCCATTAAGTGTTGCCCCGTCTTTATCCCTGTTCGAGTCAGTTGGACAACCCCTCAGTCTCGGGATTGCAGGACACATGCAAAGACAAAATGCAGCACTAGCCATTCAACTGTGTAAATTGTGGATAGACAACAGAAGGAAACAGCAAAAAAACATGGAGGATGATCAAAACGGCAAGACGACGGAGTGGAACACAGAAGACATGAGGCTTCCTTCATCAGTGACTGAAGGTTTGGTTTGGTCTATTAAGAATACTGTAAACATACTTTTTTCTGCAAGAGGTTAATTTACACTATGTATGTGGTCACACAAATTTTCTGTGGAAATATATCACAGTGTACTTGAAGTGCATTTAAGACATACAATGGCACTCTAAGAAATCCTTGTAATTTTCTACCTGTGGATTGAACAGATATTGTGATTCCGTGGAATTATGATCCAGTGGAAAAAAGAATGTGTATGTTTATGCTGGTATGTTGTGTAGGATGTTAGCAAGATTCTACATCTAAATGGTTCCTGACCACAAATTTCATAAAAAAAGTAGTATGAATCGGCAAATTCTTTAAAGATTTACTATTATATATACCGGTACATGTATAGAGTGAAACGAGAGAAGAGGTGTAATAATACATGTTAATAACAGAAAAAGTAAATGAAAAATATTCAGAATTCATGAAAGCATAAGTTTTGAGTTTTATGCCATATATTGTAGGACTTAAGCACTGTAGATGGGATGGCAGGAACCAGACAATAAAGAAACCAGGAATCACATATTACCTGGATGGAGCTCATACATTAGAAAGTGTTCAGGTATAAATTAATATACGGTCAAACTTGTCTTAGCGGTCACCTTTATCAAGCGGTCACCTGTCCTTTGCAGTCATTTTATTTCCTCCCAATGAATTTTCCTATATAATGTAACTCTATTAAGCGGTCACCTGCGTAATGCAGTTAGTGGTCATCAAATTTCATGTAAAATCGCAGTTTTACCCTGTATTAAGCGGCCATTTTGTCCAGTCACATGACAAAATCTAGAGTCGGGTGACTCCCAATTTTATCACTAATGTTGATAATATTGGTCTAGTTTGGCAAGATCATGGAAAAAATAATTGGCCTAATTAAAACCATTTAAAATGTTGGATAATTTATTTTTTTTTAACAAAACACAAACAAGGATTCTAATGACCGAAATGGTTATCAGGAAAACGAACTTATAAAATCTTAAACTTATCAAAACAGGAATCTGGTTTAAAAAATTTTGAGTGATGTTAAAAAACAACGCATCTTTATTTATCTATTAATGGATACACATCTGTCCAACTCCGGTAGGTGTATTTGTGTAAACACATGGCAGACAGTTTTTAACACCTAGGAGACGTATTATTCATAGACACCTCATTAACTGTTTTGTGTACACAATGTGTCCTGTTTTATATCTCGTGTTTTTCACTGTGAGGATTAGTCATGCTTCATTACTCACAACATCTGTGAATTTGATATCAATTTGTATTGTGCACTGCTTTGATTAAATGAGCGTATATGACATGTCTGTTTATTACGCAACGATTTATGTATTTTTTGTTGCAGTCATCAAATTTAACTTGAACTTAATAATCTTGAGACTATTTAAAATAAAAAAAAAATCAAAGTGAGACCATTGATGTCCAATACACATATTTCTTTAATATTCTATGATATAGTATTGTAAAACACAGAACTAAAATAAAGTGGAAAAGAATTTTTCTTGAAAAAGATGAACCTCTTTTCAGAGGTCACCTGTCTATAAAGGTCACTTTTAATGGTTCCCGCAGGTGACTGCTTAATACAGGTTTGACTGTAAACAATGTAAACACTTTAAAAGTTTAAGATCAAATGATCAGGGAGATTTATGTATGTTTTTTTTAATGTCATTATTTAAAATGTTTAATCCCATTATTAAGCTCTGCAAGCTATTTCATCTGAGCAGAAATAACAGAGATTCTCAATTCTGCCGTTAATTCATTTGCTACAATATGTGATGGTCTTGGAATAGCCGAAGGTCTGATCAAAATCTGTTGGCAGTAGTAAACTTTTCACTTTTCGTCTTCTCCAGAACCACTGGTCCAATTTCAACAAAATCCTTGGGTGAAAGGGATTCAAGTTTATTCAAATAAAGCGCTAGGATCTCTTTAAAGGGAGATAATGAAGAAAAGGTAAAAACGGGGTAGGTGTCATAAAAATCTTCTCTAGAACCATTTTTCAAAAGAGATGAAGCCTATAAGAAATCTTCCTGACAAAGTGTAGATTCAAGCTTCTTCAAATTTTAACTCCTAGGGGTAGGGAGGGGCCACATTAGGGGATCAAAGTTTTTCATTAGAATACTGTAGAGGACTAGAGGTCCCTTTTTCCTTGTGGGAGTAATTTAAGCTATGCACATGGTCACAAATTTTCAGCAGAAATTTGTCACAGCATTTTTAAAGTTCCTTTAAGACATACAATATCTACTTAATTTCTACATGCGGATTGAACAGAATATGTGATCCCGTTGAATTATGACCATGTGGGAAGAAAAGTTCGTTTATAGTGTATAGAAAATTTCTTCAAAAATCTTCTCAAGAACAGCAGGACCATGATTAGTGATATGAAAATGCAAGCAACCCAGGTAGTGCAGATTTAAATTTGTTCAAATCATGGCCCCAGGATAGGGTTGGACCCCAATAGGGGATCGAAGTTTTGCATGGGAATATATTGGATATTTCTTCAAAAATCTTAAGTACAGCAGGACCATGATTAGTGATATGAATATTAAGGCCCCCTCAATGACACGTATCACAATATGTATTCAGATTTCCAAAGGCAAGTAAGAGGTGATGATACAATAAAGAGAAGTACTTGTGCTTCTATAGATTAAAAGAGCACTTTGTTCGTGTCAATACTAGCAGTGGCAGCCTGTTCTGAAACTTTCTCCGTCACAATTTTCTCCCTCTTGTGTGTCAAACTATTAAAATGAGGTCGAACCCGATCTATTTCAAGGAGTAACCAAACTCGATTATAAAAAAAACGTATCGAACCGAAAATTGAACAAGCAGTAACATTGAACAATATCGATATTTCGGTAAATTGTTTCAGCCCTAATGAATATACAAGCATCCACAGGTAGTGCAGATTTAAACTTGTTCAAAACATGCCCCCCCCCCCCCCCCCCAAGGCCAAGGTAGGGTGGGGCCCCAATAAGGGATCAAGGTTTTACATAGGAATATATAGGAAATTCCTTTTTTGACCCCTTAGATTTAGGGTATGATGACAAGAGAGAATCAAAGAAAAAATCTTTTAAAAAGAACAACATGGTCTAACCTGTTGCTTTTTTTTTTTTCAGGTCCCCTCCCCTTTCTAATTTTATTAAAGAAACTCTATGAAATGTTACATTCTGAAAAATTTGTTAATATAAATAAAAAAATAATTCTTAAAGAATTCTTCAAGATTTATGGGATTTAAACGGAGTGAAATTTTAAAAAAAAGTAAATACACTTGAACTTCAGTATCTCGAACATGGATATCTCGAATGGATATGTCAAAGTGGTTGGGAAATCCTAACCACATATTTCTTAAATATTTTACTCTTGATATCTTGAATCCTCGGATATCTCAAATTTTTCTCTTGGCCCCATTGAGTTTGAGATAACAAGGTTTGACTGTAATAAGGCCCACGAGATATTATGAGAATTGAACAGTTGTGAATCTCTCCTATTTATGTCTCTGATTCTCTAGATACTCTGATCTAGTATTTTACTCCGAAAAGTGATTATGAATTTACAGTGTCATGCATTGCATATATACATGTATCTTGTTACAGCAATGTATACAATGGTTCAGATGTGCTTCAGCGGAGGAATCTGAAAAATTGAGGTACTGTGTCATTTTTATTTATGTCTCTCAAGATTCATCATCTCTCTGCTCCCTCTTATAAAATTTTGCTTGAACCTAAATACAGTGTACAATCTAATTTTTCAAAATTTCAGCATACCTTGTGGGGCAAAGGGATGATGTGCCATATGGCCCCTGGTAAATTGACAAAAAATAAAATATCTAAATTTTACTCTAATTTTTGCATCGACTTAATTACTGATATGTGTACTGTCAGGGAATACTACTTTAACCGAAAATAGAAACATAGTTTGGAAGATATTTATCTTTATTTTGAGTAGGGGTACCTTGTTTACATCCAATTCCCGTTGAATTTTGGCCCCACCCCACTCTTTGAAGCCCTTAAAATATACGAGTGCAAGTAGGTACATTTTTCTCCTTTGGATGGTTGCTGTATTTTATTGAGATCTACCTATATGTGAAAGGAGAAAATTGTACCTAACTGCGCTCAAATGTTGTGTTTAAAACGTTGTAAAATCTGGCTGGTCTTCCCCATTATGAACAGATCGACGAAACAATTTTTTCTGATGCAAGAATAAATTCATATGCTAATCGAGGCACTGGCGTGACTTTCTAACTGATCAATCAGCTTAATGAGTTGCATTACGAGTAAGTACTACAAAAATTCTAAGGAAATTTAATGCTTGGAAAAAGGCATAATTTATCTTGAATTTTTTTTTTATTCATTTGAGTTGCAGATTATAGACACGAATCTACACTTTCCCTGCTCATAATTACAATTTTTTTTTTGATAAATATACACTGTAAAATTTCATAGTTTTGTAAAGAGCCGTTGGGCAATTCCCGAAAATCAGTGAATACACGTACGTTTCATTGTGAATTTCTTGACCCAAAACACTGAGGATCCATACGTATAATTATGTCTACAAAGTCTTTGCTGACCATTAAAAGTTTTATATGTAGTAGAGATAATGTGTTAATTGACCTAAGCCATGTGTCTGTGATAAAATGTAAACATGTAGTAAACCAGCATGTTTTGTCGTTCAGTCATCGGATTGGACAATTGTTCTCAGTAAGCGACTATGGGCAATATGATAACAATAGCCATATAAGGTAGATTCCTCGGATATGCATACCCCTCTATTGTACTAAGACCCGCCTATTCTCTTTTCATAAAAGATCCTATTGTCACAAACCAGGCCGAATTTTGCTCTCATGGGGTCTAAAAAATCATATATAATGCAGTAATCCTCATAATTAAAATGTGTTGGAACAAAAGATGTCATATTTACTCACTTTTGTTTGAAAACTATCAAAATCGTTCTAGAATAAATATAATTCGTCAGAGAAAAAGGGGCCGCAGAAAGTAGTTTTGGGACATCATCCTTTGACAGAAACTTGACAATTTTATAAAGGAATAATAGTCATGTATTCCAGTGAGGGTTATCTCTCTTATTAGAAGGTTAATGAACCCTTAATTATTTGAAACATCCCAACTTGTACAGAATAGCAAACTACATGTACCATCAGTATCAGGGTTCGAAATTCACTATATACAACTCGCAAAACGCGAGTTAGAATTCCCAAATTGCGAGTTAAAAATTAGGTAACTCGCAAAAACTTGCGAGTTAATTTTTTTGCATTGAAACTGTAACAAAATTGCATAGTATGACAGAACACAATGCTTTTGATTTAAATCAGTAATTTAACTAAAAGTCACACTGTAGTTGTATTTTGTGTATTGTACAGTAGTTACTTTTTCCTTAAGTTACATGTACAGCATGTATTTAATTTATATATAATTTAACTTTATATGAAAATTGCGAGTAGTCTTATAAAATTGCGAGTTCACTTTCTTGGTACTCGCAATTATTTGCGAGTTGTAATTTTAGGGAGTTTCTAACCCTGAGTATTGTCTTTAATCATAAAACTGTGAAAAATTGTTCTCTCGTTTAATTTTTCAGAGGCCATGTAATCCAGGTCCTTGTATTTAACTCGACAGGCGATAGGGAAGCTAGTGTACTTATTGAACCGTTGGTGGTAAGTAGAGACATAATTTTTTTAACTAGACAAATTTCATTACATTGTATCTTGAACTTGATGGGACTAAGAAACAAGAGGCCCATGGGCCACATCGCTCACCTGAGTAACTTTGGCCATACTGTTCATTACCAGACTCCCCCCTTGTAATACCTATTGTGGCCCCACCCTCCCCCCAGGGGCCATGATTTGAACAATTTAGAATCTACACTACCCCAGGATGCTTCCACATAAGTTTCAGTTTTTCTGGTCCAGTGGTTCTTGGGAAGATTTTTAAAGATTTTTCCTATATATTTCAATGTAAAACTTGGGATTCCCCCTATTGTGGCCCCGCCCTATCCCCTGGGTCATGATTTGAACAATTTAGAGTGTACACTACTTGAGGATGCTTCCACATAAGTTTCAGCTTTTCTGGCCCAGTGGTTCTTGAGAAGAAGATTTTTAAAGATTTTTCCTATATATTTCAATGTAAAACTTGTATTTCCTATTGTGGCCCCGCCCTACCCCCGGGGGTCATGATTTGAACAATTTAGAATCTACACTACCCCAGGATGCTTCCACATAAGTTTCAGCTTTTCTGGCCCAGTGGTTCTTGAGAAAAAGTTTTTTAAAAATTTTTCCTATATATTTCAATGTAAAACTTGTATTTCCTACTGTGGCCCCGCCCTACCCCCGGGGGTCATGATTTGAACAATTTAGAATCTACACTACCCCAGGATGCTTCCACATAAGTTTCAGCTTTTCTGGCCCAGTGGTTCTTGAGAAGAAGATTTTTAAAAATTTTTCCTATATATTTCAATGTAAAACTTGTATTTCCTACTCTGGCCCCGCCCTACCCCCGGGGGTCATGATTTTTACAATTTAGAATCTACACTACCCCAGGATGCTTCCACATAAGTTTCAGCTTTTCTGGCCCAGTGGTTCTTGAGAAGAAGATTTTTAAAGATTTTTCCTATATATTTCAATGTAAAACTTTGATTCCCTATTGTGGCCCCGCCCTACCCCCGGGGGTCATGATTTTTATAATTTAGAATCTACACTACCCCAGGATGCTTCCACATAAGTTTCAGCTTTTCTGGCCCAGTGGTTCTTGAGAAGAAGATTTTTAAAGATTTTTCCTATATATTTCAATGTAAACATTGTATTTCCTATTGTGGCCCCGCCCTACCCCCGGGGGTCATGATTTGAACAATTTAGAATTTACACTACCCCAGAATGCTTCCACATAAGTTTCAGCTCTTCTGGCCCTGTGGTTCTTGAGAAGAAGATTTTTTAATGACCCCACCCTATTTTTGTCTTCTCTTGATTATCTCCCCTTGTGAGGGGACTTGGCCCTTCATTTTAACAATTTAAATTCCCCTTTACCCAAGGATGCTTTGTACCAAGTTTGGTCAAAATTGGCCCAGTGGTTCTTGAGAAGAAGTCAAAAATGTGAAAAGTTTACAGACGGACGGACAGACAGACAGACGGACGGATGGACGACGGACAAAATGTGATCAGAAAAGCTCACTTGAGCCTTCGGCTCAGGTGAGCTAAAAACTTTGAGATATACAAAGATTCAAGATATCAGGGTTAAAATACATAGAAAATGAGAAGTTGAGACTGCCATTTCACTTCGACATATCCGTAGTATTCAAGATATTGATGTTCCAGATATTAAAGTTCAACTGAATTGTACTTTTATCAACAAATGTTATCCAATCTCACTGATAATTCATACATGAGTTTGAAGTTTATAGACAAAACTACCTGTTCATTACGTGTATCTGCATGTACAAATAAAATGTGATGTTGTTACCATTTCTTCTGTTAAATGATAGGTTTTTTTTGGCTTTTACAGAATTGTGGTTTTGATGCAGCAGTATTCTGTCCAAATATTGCCTTCTCTACTTTAAATACTGTTGGTAAGTTCAGTTGAGATTGAATAGAGTTATTTACTAGTAATTGGTTCTAACAATTGTTTGTTTGAACTTTTTTAACTAATGTATCAACTAACACACTAATACATATTAAGCTAGCAGCATAATGAAGGATGTTGGTTCAATTTTAATGTCACATTCAGAATTCACGCATGTTGCAGTAAGTTGACATGCCTATTATTCAGTCTTGTATTTGTTCAATCTTTGAATGGATTGTAAAGTTTCAAGTACATGTATGTATTGGCCAGATATGCACATTTGATCTTTTTTTTGTTTTATTTATACATCATTGTAACTTATTATTATTTATTGTAGCTTGATTCTTTATTTTTGCTTAACCATAATTTTTTGTTTTGTTTTGCTTTTAATCTTTACTGCTTTCTGAGTTGGTGTATTTTGCTTTCTGTAGCACGCTCCACTAAAACAGGTAAGCTGATGATTGATGCATGGCATTTAACTATACACAGAAATATCTTTAACTTTGATGTATTATTAGCACGTTTACTGTAGATTCCTTATTTTACGCGAGTACTTAATATCGCGAGATGGCCCAAGGGCATCAAATCGCGAGAACAACAATTCGTGAATGGGTGATTTATCTAGAGATTTAACATACATTAAAGCACTATAAAGATAAAAGCAAGTAATTTTATTTCACGAGTGGTGCTTCTCGCATAATTACGCGATAATTTACTCCTCGCATATATTTAGGAATCTACAGTACCTCCTGTTTAGACTCCTCCCTAGCATGCACTGTCTGGTTTCCTGTATTTATTGTTAATCCACTTTGTACAGTAAGTTTCATCTACAGAAGAGAAATGCTTATAAAACTGTTGAAATTTCTTTTTTTTTCTCGCTTCATAGATGCAACGAATTTTACCGTTACAAAGGAAAGTCAGCTAAACCGTGTTCTTGCTAACATGCTGTTGTTTGAAAGACTGGCAGTTAAAAGACTACAACAACAAAAGCATGAAAAAGAAACAACACAGAGAGAGAGAGACAACACACGTGATGCGAAAAGACCAAGGTTCTCAAAATTGGACACTCACAACATTGAAGACAAGGGAGATAACTCTCAGACTGTCTGTGATATTGAAGACTGTGTTATTACCAAAGATTTCCCTTGTATTTCTTCAGCATTAAATTGGGCAACTCAGGGAAAAGAACCAAATATTTCATCTCAGTCTTTCACAGAATTCCCCTCCAAAGTGAAGGATGCAGACCATATACAGATTTTGGTGACCGGCAGTCTGCACTTGGTGGGGGGTGTTATAGGGCTTATTGGACCAGAATAAAAATCGATTTTTATATTCAGATATTTCTTTTTGTTGATTTATTATAGGAACAAGATCTGCTTTGTAAAATACTAACGAGCCTGGCTGATTTGACTTATCCTGGATTTATTTTAACCAAGTAACTCAGAATTCAGCATTAGTGTAACAAATCACTTTGGGAAGCAACATAGAGGCATAATCAAACGGGGGTATTCCCTGGATGCCCACATTCTAGGAACATTACTGTGTTGTTTTTACTGTTAATAGAGGGGCAGAGACAACTGCATATTTTCTCAAATCAGTTGCAAAATGCACATCTGAAAGCACATCACATAATTCATAATATGAATAATTTATCCTATGGATGGTTCCTGCCTCGAAATTCCTTTAGAATGTTGATGGCACAAGATATTTTTGAATCTTTAAAAATATTTTGGAATGTATTTGACATATATTTACTTCAGTTTTAAAGGCACAAACAAATCTTTATCAAATTTAAGGGAAAACACATTTTTTTGAAAATGCAGACAACTGTAGTGTGTATTTCATTTATTATCAAGAAAATATCAAAACAACAAAAATAATAAATATATTCCATAACAAACAACAGAAAATTTGCAGAGACAAAGGAAAAGTCATGATATTTTTTGTAAGTTCATGGATGAAAGTTCTTTCAGTCAGAAAAAAATTGTCATAAAATACCTCAAATCCGTGTAAATTATTTTCTAATGTCATTTTAGTTTTGAAAAAAATATTTTCCTTAAAGTGTTTGCTCAAATACCATACAAGAATACCAGGTTATGCTGTACTGTGCAGAAATATACAACATGTGGTGTTGGAATGTGAAATATACATTTACCCCCTGCAATGCATATACAATTTAAATGGGCAGAAAATGAAATTGGATGAAAATTTAAGTATAATCTCAGTGAAGGTTGGTTGTACAGTGTATCATGATGGCAAGAAATCAGCCATCATATCATGCCTGATCATAAGAAAATCTAAGGTGGCATAACAGTGGTTAATAGCATTAGCTTGGTATACTGAAAATGGGAGTTTACTGGTAATCCTAGAAAGTTCTTTTTCTTTCTTGATTTTATGGTAAAAATGCTAATTTTTACCTAATCATGTATATTTTAGGTTTTGGTACCAATTAATACCTCCTTCACTAAAGACTACTTTAAAACCATAAATAAATTCTGAACAAGCTACACACAAAAATTTATAAGATGGTAACTTTTTACACAGCAGAAATTTAAATTAATTGAAGAAATGCATTTCATTCTTAAAAATAAATAAAACACATTTCTAAACATTGTAATTCAAAGATTCTGCACATTTTAACCAGGACTTGACTTCAACAGGCTTCAAAGGACAGTCTATAACACTGACTTGTCAGAAGTAAAAGTTTTTCAATAGCTATTGTGTCTCTCGTAATTGGCAAGGAATTAGAAAGTGTAAAAAAAAAAAAAAATTTAAAAATTTAAAATACAAAATAAATATACTTCAAAAATGAACATACATAGTAACATAAAGCACCAACACAAAATGTAGTACAGAAACTTCAGACCAGACGAAAATATACATGTATAATGTAAAATAGGCATTTCCTACTTTTCAAATAATTCCACCGAATTCCATATAAAAAAAATAATATTACAACAAAACATAATCTATTAAAACAACTTTGGGGGAGGTCCATAAATATGTATGAAGCTTGTTTATTAAGTAGATTATGGATTTCTAATTTTGTATCTTTGTCACATTGGATTTCTTATTGTTCTCTTTTTATATTGTTTGATCTATATCTATTAAAACAGAAGTTTTTATATATTGATATCATAATGGCCCAAAACAAAAGCTCCTCTGAAAGTCTGTATCTTCCTGTACGGTTTGTATTTAAACTATAAGTGGTTTATCTTAAATTGATACAGAAGACACAGAAATATATAATTGCGTAGTACACATTAATAAAATGTGCTTTCCATTTATAATTAAGAGATATTTTGTACATGGTTGTGTTTGTGATGTACATGTATTTAATTCTCAAAATACATGTGACAAAAGTTGGTCAACATTTAATGCCACATCTATAAAGTTGTCTGTGCAAAGTTAAATTTTTCTACAGAAAATGCAATGGCCTATAATTACAAGTATATTCGGATGTGTACAGGTATATTTGATTCAAATTACTAATAGCATACACTTAACACACACATCATAAGCTGGAGACTAGTGAATTATAATCACATGATTATCACAATGCAAAAAAAAAAAAATGTCATCCTTATCGCTCTAGATTGTCAAAAAATTATTTGGTTTTAATTAAAATAAATATTACATTAAAGATTAATATACTTGCACATAAAAAGCCTGATAATATTGTATTCATCAAATTGTAGATGGAGTACATGTAATAATTTAGTAGTCATCAAATACATATAGTGTATATATAGATTTTTTTTTTACATACATGTATTATGCTTTGTCATGCACACAACTTTTTTAGATACTAGTAAAATTTGTTTTCTTTGTGTTCTTATTATTCACTCTTCAAAGATAAACACGACTAAAAGTATGCAGAGTAAAAAAAAAAAAAAAAACAATACACAAATTTTGAAGAAAAAAAATCTCTCTGAGCAAATTATTAAATTCCTAAGAATCTATTTCAAGGTTACGTTGCTCCATGCAGATCTCCTTCCCCAGGTTCAGCAAACAAAGTTCTATTGTCCACTACCGTGGCTAAGTCAAGAACTACTTTATATAAGGTGGGATGCTCCAGGATTTCATCGGTTGGTAGCAGTGGTGAACAGGTTGGGTAGAAATTTGGTCCCTGGTGTAATTAAAGACAAATCAACTCACTTCTAATTAACAAAATGATTGTCCATTTTTACTAGACAAAATGTAAAGTAACATGTCATCTATAGACTTTGATACATTATAGCTTTTCTTCAGATTGAAAAGATCATAATGATTTAAAAACCTTTAGCCATTCAGGATCATTTGGCCCCATAGAGGCTTTAATGAAAAGAAACGTATACTATCAGTTCTTACAAATAAAATAGTTTACCTTGAACCCTCTATGAAGTATCAGCACAATGTAGCAGAAGACGAATCGTAACATCAGCAACCTCAGAAAGTCATCACCGAAGAATTGGATATACATGTTATCTACAAAGATAAAGGGTAAATACTTAAAATCAAAACATTTCTATGCAAAGTACAGTTGAGCAGTTGGTTTGTTAAACTTCAATATCTCAAATACTATAAGCATGTTAAAGTGAGTTGAAAGTCTCAACTACTTTTTCAATATAATATCTTAATCATAATCTCTTGAATTCTTGGATATCTACCAGTAGAATTTTTTTCTCAGCCCCATCACTTTCAAATTAACAAATTTGACTTTATTTGGAAAAGTTCCAAAGTGCAGTCTTTTCTTCAAATGATTCATCATGACCTTATATATTCCAGATGATAAATATGAATGAAAGTACTATAACTGCATATAAGTATTAATTTTTGCAGTACACACCTAGTTTTTTAGACCTGGAAAAGAGTTTGGATGTTTCAGCCATGAACTTGTCGATGACCCCAGTGCACTTGTCCCAAAGGTCAACAGGAACTTCATAGATATTACAAACATAGCAGAATGCCATCAAAGGGTCATGTAGAAACATTGTGAAGAGGTTTCCTCTCCTGTGCTTGTCTGTAAGGAGGAAAATGCATGTAAATGTACAACCAATTCATGTTTAACATATTTTCACAGTAATTCTTTGTTAAATTTCGTTTCTATGTACAGTAAAACTTGTTTAGTACAAACATGGATATAGCTAATTCACAGATATAGCTAAGTTTTTCAGCATCCTCAGCGAGATTCTGTACAATTCTTCGTAAAATTTTACAGGTATAATGAATTCTAATATAAAGAGTTTACGGATGTATTTTGAGTCTCGTAGAGATTGAAAATAGTGAAATTAACATCTTTTATAACAAATTTTCAAAGATCTCAAAATTTGAAATATTGAACTGACTTTCTTTTCTCGTTAAGTATTTACATATAAATTCAGTTCATAATGAAACCTTAATTCTTCAAGGTTTGTTTTGCCTTAAATGCTTCCCTAATATATATTGGTAGTAATACTTGAAGGAGAACATGTATATTCACTATATATACCTTTATGAATTCGTTATACGAGTATAGTGAAGTACAGTTGAATTTCGGTATCTTAAACACTGATATCTCGAATACCATGGATATGTCAAAAGTGATTTGGGTGTCCAAACCCTTATTTTTAAAGTATTTTACCCTCAATATCTCGAATCCTCGGATATCTTGGAAGTTTGGAGGTTTGACTGTAAATTCACAGGTCCCTGGGACTTCATTATAACCGATTTTTACTGTGTATATATATATATATATATATATATATATATATATATATATATATATATATATATATATATATATATATATATATATATACATATATACTGAGTGCTTTTTCTGCTTCTTTACAGAAATAAATATTTTTGAATTAAAAAAAAAGTGAAAGATACTTTATTAGTGAGAGGGATGGGGGGGGGGGGGGGGAGGGCTGAGTGTTGAATACTGACCTTGCATGGTTGGTGGTGCTCTTTCTGGAGACAGTAAACATACTACAGGCTGCCCAAACAAGTTTGGAATATTCTGGAACAAAGGAAGCAACTCTTGAGTTAATATCAATAACTACATGTTAAGTGTTTAACAATGTAACACCTTGCCATATAATTATACTTTAAAAATTTTCTATATGCACTTGGTATTTTTGACTTATTTTTTGAATATGCTGATGCATGTTGTATTTACCTGTCAATGACCCTAATCCATGATTGTATCATATACTTCATAATCTCACATTTACAACTGTGTGTAATTCCACATGCATCATAATAAGACAACAAAAAGTTGCTCACCTGGAATGAGGAACTGTTGTCACTGTCGACAATTACAAATAAAGGCTTTCTTGTGTATGGATATAGATCTCCAGGATGTAAGCTACAATAACAGCAATGGTCTAGCAATAGTATTTGTATATGATTTGGTTTGGCAATAGTATTTATATATGATATGATTTTTGGTAAAACGTAATTCTACTTGCTAATCCTATAGTCACTGAACGACTTACCAGTGAACTTCTTTGAGATGTCCCAGTTTTTTGGTTCGTATGATCTCCTCTCCTTCCCTCCTAGAATTAGTGACCACACCCCCTAGGTCATAGGCAGCTTTAAAAATTCAAAACAACCAATTTCAGCAGACTCGCATAGAAACCAACAAAAGCACTTTCTTATAACTCACATTATGGCTATGATGGAGTTGCAACAAAAATAAGAGGTTATCCTATTTTTAACACTTACGGTCATCTCCATGTTTCATGTTAGTGGGGCTGCCATCTGCAGAGATATACAGGAGTATTATACCGGTAGGTGGAAGTTCTTTGAACCCTGAGGCTAGGAATGTGTTCAGCTGGCTGTACGTTGGTTTATACAGGAGGTACTTGTGAGGATTTTCACGTCGATTGTTTCTCTCACCATTTTCCTGTATCAAAGCAACAGAGTCATCATACTACAAATAATTTTTGGAAAAAAGAATATCACATAACAGATTCCCAATTTTTTCAGGATTTTCCAGGTAAAAATTGTAAATATAAAACTACAATAACATTCATATGTTATTCATCTAATAATTGCAGGCCCACACTAAGTTTATATAAGGACAAACAACATCCAAAAGTTGTGTATTGGAATAACACTTTTCAAAATGTACCTGCATCACCTCACTAATGTCATTAACCTGAATTTACTCAATGAGAGGAGCAAAGCCTAAACATTATTTTGACAATGCAACTGGATTTTATCGCATTTTTGAATTTTTTTTTTTTTAACTAATCTCATCTTTTTAAAAATATATTCCACATTTCAGTTCAGAGAACATATTTCTTTTCCAATATCTGAAAAACAGATTCATTTGAAAGATTTGATTCATAAATTTCCAGTAACCTACCAATAAAATTGTACCGAATTTAAATGAATTACATTATGTATCTTAAAACCAAAATAAAACCCCACAAAATTATTTCACAGAAGCAAAAGTTACTAAAGCTTGACATGAAAAAATTAAATTCTCAAAGAACTGAGCAAAATTGTTAGTGCATTAAGTTAACATTACAACATCATCCTGAATTTGGTTAACATACAAAAAGCTATCACATGTATATCAAATTAATTTACCTCTTTTTTCATATAAGATGGCAACAACTGGAATGAGATTTTATATTTCTTACAATTTGGAATTCTGAGTCGGAATTAGGTTTTTTTTTTTTGCAAGGAATGCTGAATAATAGCTAGCTCAAAGTATGCTGCATGATGGCATAGTATAAGCTGTATAATGGTATACAGTACTGATTACACAATGCACTAGCAGAAATGGCATAATGTGTTGTATAATGGCTCACAGTATGCTGCATGATGGCATAGTATACTGTGTAATAGCACAGTGTCTTGCATATACTGTTTTTAACAAGCACTATAGAAGCTCCAGTGCAGATATATGTACACTGTGCAAGCACGTATTACATATATACAGAAAAGTTTAAATTGATTAAAAGTTTACTGTATTTACTCCAAATTTTAGACTGAGTGGAAGGTTTAGAGAACTTTTTCTTGTTTAGGACTTATTTCTGTGCTTGCTTTCCATCAATGAGCAAATGTGTGAGGTGTGACTGAATTACCTACACTGTACAAATATTCAAGGTGTGAGGTATGACTGAATTACCTACACTGTACAAATATTCAAGGCTTTTAAAATTGCTGGAATTACTGATACAAGTACATATAATATATATTCCTTGGGCTGGTATCAAAGGATTGTAGATTTAACTAATTTATTCACACAGGACTGATTCATTCTTAAGTGTAAAGACTTACTAACTTTAATCAATATGACTGTTGTCTTCCTGGGATTTCAGTGTAATGTACATATATTACTTATATATTACTTACATATGGTGGTCTCCCAGGAGCTGGGGAGGCATCATAAATTTGATTGGATAAATCTTCCTGGGGTTCCCTCTCCAATGTTTGTAACATTCTAAACATGTCCAAGGTCAATTCACTGTATTTCAGCTGCAAAAATAAAACACCCATTTTGACAAAGAATCACCGAATGAATGCCCAAATCAATGTCTGGTCAATAATTCCAAAAAGAGCCATGAGATGTCTGGGGTAGAAATAGCTTAAATTAATGAATAAATCATTTCCGTTTTACATTTTGTGTGTTTTTTTCTCCAGATAACAGCTGTATACTTTAAGGTACACATAGTACATATTCTTGCAAGAGGACAGGGTCATGCAAATATGTGCATATTGTTATCAACATATTGAAGTATTTACTACATATGTAGTATACTAACCTGAACTCTCAGAGATTGAAATGTTCACCACACTCAATATGAATCCTATATATTACCTGTTCTGAAGAATTCCCTACTATCAAGATTTCCTGGAGTCTGAGAATAGCTGGGGTGCCCTTTTCCAGAGGAGGAGTATTTAAGGGGGTCAGCCTATGAGACAGAACAATGGGGGTACCATCATGGTCCAAAACTCTCACTGTGCAGTCAGCCTTCAAGATAATTTAAGTAAAATTACAACATTCAGGATCAGAATATCTAGTTTCAAGAGACATAACTATTTTATTACATAAGTAAACCATGTCAAAAATATTATAATCAGATTTCTGGCAATGAACATACATCTTCGAATTCTCTTATTTCTGAGAGAACAGTTTTCCATTCATTCTGGTCCTCTGGTTGGTAGGTGGAAGTGTAGTCATCTATCTGCTTGCCAAGGTCCTACAAACACAACCAAAGACAGACAATATACCAGGTTATGAGGCAGAGATAACATATTTTAGATTTTACCTTTATGCATTTATTCATTTGCAAAAGGACAATTTTACTTATAATACATTCATAAAACTCTTTCTAGGGAGACTATTCTACTGTTTACAGCCCTTTGAAGTTACACCTATTTAGTCTTTGTAGTAAACTTATCACAGATCTGTTTAAGTTCAAGCTCCTAAGCTTATATCTCCTTTAATATAATTAAAATTCCTAATTTTAGAGTCTTGCTAGAATTTACAATGTGGCTATGCCCATTATAACTCACCTTACACCTGTTTACAATCCTCTGACAAATTTACAAGACACCTATAGCTACTAAAAGTCCTTCTAATGAACTTTTAACACACCAACTGTTAACGATCTAGCTGACTTACTCTCTCTAGGTCCTTCACAAGCTTCATCTTCTTCAGCAATAAACAAACTAAAATGAATCTGGCATAAAAACGGAGCTTCTTGACCATCAGATCTGGCCTGTAATAAAATAACACCTGTCTGCATAAATTAAACTCTTAATCTTGCTCCCAATTTCAGTTCATTTCCCCATCTGACAGATTATCCCCCTTCTTTCAATCCAAAGTCAAAGATTTTTTAAAACTGGAATACGTTATTCATTAAAATGATAATTATGGATTTTTAAATAATTCACTTCTTACTGTAACGCCCCATTTGATTGAATAAAAAATTTACTTTATATCATATAAACTTTGTTGCCTATGTCATAATGACTTGCATCAAATATGCTTTATATTACATTTAAATTGTGTACAGTTTGAAGTCAATTTATAAGGGTAATCATCTTAATTTCTTATAATAAATGAATGAAAATTGAACAGTTTACAATTTTTATAAACTACTTTGTGGTTTATAAATGAAACTGCCCCCTCCCAGTTTATACCGCATAAACTGTGTAGCTATTTTAAAAATTCATTCCTTAATTAGGATACAGTACCTTTCCTCTTTGCTGGCCCTGGAATAGTACCCTCTCTGACGAATAGCTGAGTAGAAGTTGAAGGATTCATTCAGGTAATTAGTTTCACTGGTTCTCAAACTACAAACATATCAAATGCTACTGAATGGATGGAATTTCTTCAAAAATCTTCATTGCAATGATATTTCACTATGGTTAACATGTGGGATATTATTACAAACTGTAACAGACTTAAATGTTAACTAACAAAAACATTTTTTTCCAGTGATTATCAAACTTTTTTATACTACAAATTGCATTTCAAAATAATCTAGGTATTTGCTACATTCAAATTACAATTTTCTGCAGTCTATATAACTGATGCTGTTCATATTACAAATTGGGAAATATACCATGGATTACTGTTTTCAACTCTCTGTATAACTGATGCTGTTCATATTAAAAAATTAGATAATTGAAACTGTTTATTCTACATATTGTGTTTTGTAATGGTCTAGATATCTAAAATTCTTGCAATTTAGTGTTAATGTAGAGGTGTGAGAGTGTGCAATCTCTCTCTCTCTCTGTGAAAAAAAAAATGATTTTAGCTAGAATTCTTAATGATCTTTGTGTTGGGTTGTAATTTATAGTTTGAAAAACTTCTATTCATTATAACACTGTAACATAACAATTCCACTTAATGTACCTGTATACCGACACACCAATTACCCTCTTAAGTGTACTCTCTGTATCATGATTTAAATGTTATTCGGTTAAAAACTCTTTGAACTTAACACAGAAAGCCTGTTGTTTACATATATTCCCATTATAGTCTGCATGTCAGAGTTGTGCATGAACAATATTGATTTATACTTTTATTCAACATAAATAATTCAAATGTATTCTTTGATTTCAACTCAGAGAAAAATGATAAAGCTTATTATATACACAAAATAAGTCAATAAATCATCCAATTTCCTCACAAATATTATGAAAGGGATCTGTTAAAAGCAACCTGCAGGTACATTGACATGTAGATGGGCAGCATCTATCAGACAAAAATTTATTGGAAAGCTTCCACATGCAAGCGGTTTGGGACTTTCAGAGATGCATTTTACTATAGGACATATACACTTGCTAAACAGATTGTCATTTATAATAGAGTGCACGTACATCAAATTGTAAATTACCTAAAGACTAGAGAAATGAGATATTGGCAATATGCTTTCTATTTCATAAAATTAAAGAAACAAGATGTGTTTGTGAAACACTGATGCCCCTGTATGGAGCTAATAGCGAAAGTATAAGTTTTTCAAATGTAAAGAAATGTAAAGAAAGGTCTTGTCTCAAGAAATATACCTATGAAATATGAAAGCCCTAGCACCAACCATTCAGAAGTTATGGCCAAGGTTAAAGTTTTTTCAAAAGTATGTCAAACTCCAAGGTCAAGGTCAAAGGTCAAAATTAATGGTGCTGAAGGGAAGGTCATATGACACAAGGAGTAGACATGTGAACTATGAAAGCCCTAGCATCAACCATTCAAAAAGTTATGGACAAGGTTAAAGTTTTTCAAAAGTAGGTCAAACTCCAAGGTCAAGAGAAAAAAAAACTTTTGGTTCCCAAGGAAAGGTCTTCTCACAAGAAATACACATATGAAATATGAGAGCCATAGCACAAACTGTTCAAAAGTTATGGCCAAGGTTAAAGTTTGGTAAAGTTTTGCAGAAGTGGTTCAAACTCAAAGGTTAACAGGTCAAATATAATGATATCCAAAGAAAGGTCTTTCACAGAAATATGCATGTGAAATATGAAAGCCATAGCTCCAACCAATAAAAAGTTATGGGCAAGGTTAAAGTTTTTGCGGACAAACAGACAGACAGGGCAAAAACTATATGCCCAGAGCCCCCTGAATCTTCAATTACGGGGCGTAAAAAAAGCTTAATCATTTTTTTTTTAAATTTAAAAGGATTAAAACCACAAAAGTAGATTTCAGTGAGATTTTAGTCTTTACCTTACACTCATTATACAGCCCCCCCCCCCCCCCCCAATCAAGGACATGACACAATCCCTAATAACACAATATTCTGCGTGTGCAAAATTCCCCAGCCCCCTTCAAGGTCATGACACAATCCCCAATCACACAATATTCTGTGCAAAATTTCAGAATCTATTATTATTATTGTCTCTCTGTACTAATTTAAAATACACACATATTGATAAACACAATGACCTTTATTGTAATAGAAGGCCGGTAATTAAACACTACTGACAGGTGTTACAAACTGTCCCAAGACCTAATCTAATGGGGTCTTTTTCCCAAGGGTGTATCAAGTGTAAACTGCAGATACTTAACACAAATACAACCTACACTTAATAAAATACTTAAATTTAAGTCATATTTTGCACACAGTACCTCTGTACATTTAGTTTCATTTAATATTAAGTGATTATAGCTTGACAATTTGGTTCTGGTCAATTTGTAGAACATATATGTGCATTGAAATATTTGTGTGTACATGCATCTAATATGTATCATAAAATTTTTTCTGGCTCATGCAATGCCAAATTGTCATGTACAGCATAAAACTGAAAAAAAAAAATAATTGTTTCCTCATCATAAGTCTAATTGATGATGGAAATGTAAAAATAATGCTGATTTCAAAATTGTAGACTTGCACTCATTAATTTATCATTACATCTCTAAAAGCAAGCATGGCATTTAATCATACAATGTAGTAATATATCAGAATTCATTGCAGCATTGACTATCACTGAGCTACTGATTATTGATTCACAGCACATGTATTAGAGTAAATACCCTTAATCAACACAAATATAGGAGCTCACACAAGCACTCAATAAATTCCCTTGATATTTTGTAAAAGGTTGCAAAATTTCTAGATATCTGAACAGGTTTTTGTTGTACCCCTCTCAGATCGATAGATTTGAGTGAAAATTCTGTTTTTCACTGCTGGATAACAATAGATAAAAATATATGTACCACTTCATCATGATATTCATAAAGTAGGAAAGTCAATATGTTGTCATAGAGTTCCTCACAAATGTTATGAGGCTCTCCTGAGAGCACCCGCAGGTGCCTCGGTGTAAATGTGCCACTGTGTCACACAACATTTAACATTCTGACACTTTGACTTACTAGTAATGGTAGTACAGTTGACCAATTTTGGATGCTACTTCTCCTATCTGCCACCTCTTCAAGCCATATTTGGTATCCAAAATTTGTCTGCAATTACATTGTAAAAACCATTACAATCATTATGTCAAAACAAACACTAAATTTTTTTTTATCTAGAAGGATATACTTTTTCTGGTTGTTTTTTTGGTTGAAAAAAAAAATGTATTAAATACACCCTAAAGAGCTAGGTTCACTTCATGCATAAAATGGCCCTGTCCTTATATCAATTAATTGACTATCACTCTCTGTCCCATTTCATATGTCAAAATTAAGTAGAGACTTACTGCTCCCTTGTCCTATAACAAAATTTCTTTTTGAGAATCCAGGTATCGTAAAACAGGCTTTGTGAAAATGCAATGTTCTTGAATTTTGCAGAAAACAGACGTATTTGACTACCTTCAGCAAAGAATTAAATTATGAGCACAGCCCTCGATCCAAAAAATTAAAGCATGTTTTATGATCTTCAGAAACAGATCTTTCATTATGTAATTGCATATTTTGGATCAGAAGTTGTGCTCCATATGAAATTTTGAAAAATACTTCAAATTAAGGCCATTTTTAAAGGATTTTACAGGATATGGTAAAAATGACACATTTCATGACCTCAAAATGCATTGACTAGAGAGAAAATTATGTCATGTTCAATAGAGACACGGTCACCAAGGGTCCAAGTGATAAATACTGAATTGTCAACCAAAACTGAGGAGTTTCGATTTTTCAGAAACTCACAGGGCCACAAAAGGCCCTAAGTGGCCCTTGCTCTTTAACAACCTGTCATATCTTTTCCCAATTCAATATTGAAGCCTCACTTCTTTTTCCAAAAGACAGCAAAAATGGTGGCTCAAGCATTAAAGCAATCTCTTCTTCTAGGGAAGATTTTAATTAGGTATGACCCTTGGCCTACATGTAGGAGTACATGTAATATATTTTTGTCTATGGGCACATTACTTTATTTTCATATTTTTATTCAGTAAAGCATCCTTTCAATGAAAAAACAATGTGCTGGAAATGTATGGTCAACCTTGACATATGAGTTGACCTTGCAATAATATGACAGAAAGTATTGATCTTGACCTTACATTGATGAATATAAATGACTCTAAAGTTTTGGCTGATATCAAAGTAGTGGTTACCTATGTTGCTGTTGAAATTTCCAGAGCTTTGTGTAAACATCAAAAGTTCTGCCAAAATATGACTGCCACTGTTTGTGTCCATACTGAGGAAGGTCCCTGCAGAAGAAACAATCATATGTTAAATATGTACTTTAGATAGCTTAATTTTATCGACACTTCATTTTTGGAGATTGCTGTTTGATATCGTTAAGCAAGACAAATTTTTTATAAATTTAGGTCACTGCTCTTTAGAATCCTTAATAATACTTATTTATAAATACCCGAGAATGAAATTTTCATGAGCAGACAGTCGCGTATAATTACCCGAAATAAAATGCTCATGAATAAAATGTGATTTACAGTAATAAAAGATTACAAAGGTCATCTTGACAGGGATCAATATTAATGATTGTCCCATTGCCCAGGGCAAGTAAATTCTCAGTACAGGCAAGTAAAACTATCAATATACCTGTCCAATTTAGCAAGTGAATACCGGTATTTCCGATCAAAACAAACATAGTTTGTAAATGTAACAATAACTTGAGCACTTCATTTCCACCAGGAGCTGAACATTATTTCCCTCAGTAGCTTGTTCATTCAATAATCGGGTTTGTTATTCTGTTTTCTTTCAGTTAAATAAAATTACGCTCTCAAACAGATGATTTTGTTATAATCTTAATTCTTAATATGAAATTAAATACTATAATGTAGTTAATTGTTCACTTACAGAATAAAAGACCACTTATACTCGGCGTATGGCGTATCCTGATCATGATAATTAAACTTTCCTATTTCAGGTGTACAAAAAATCCAAAAATGAACTAAAGGACTAGGGATGGGTATCGCCAAAAATTTCATATCGCGATATATTATGATTTCCCCCTAAAATATCATGATTATATCATTATATTTTTACAAGAATTTTTTTTGCAATGATTTTAAATGAATATTCATAATTTTTCCGAAAAATATGCTGGAAAAACATAACTTCACTTTTTTTTTTTCATTTTTGAGTTACATAATATCAAGCAATTTTGGATGCTAGAATGCTGTTCTTTTACCGTTTTCATTATTTTTTTTTTTTACACTTCCTGTAATTGTAATTTGAAAGATTGAACAAATAAATGAATGATTTCTGGAATTTATAACTTTACCTAAATACCGGTATTTTAGTCTCCATATCATGATACGTAACACGCAATTAAAAATCACGATTTACTGGTAAAATCGCACATCCCTATAAAGGACCCTACTAATATTGAAAAATATTTTACTGTGAATTTTATTTGAAAAAAAAAAAAAGAACAAATCAGAATTTATTGCTGCATGGCAATCAAGTTTAAAATGTTTAACTGACAAGGACAGTGATTTTAATTACTATATAAATTGCAAGTAAAAAAGATTAAACCAATTTCAAGTATGCAGGTTATACCATAAACTCTGTCTCATGACTTAAAAAATATGAAAGAATACAACTTCCCGTCATGTTTGATTATGCCTACTGGTAAGAGAATTTAGTGGAATGAATTTTTTGTGCAGAATGTTTTAAAAAGCTGTTCTTTGAAAAAAAAAATGTCTTTGAAATGTTGAATAATATTTAGTAGCTAGTAAGTGTCATGCTATATAGGGTTGAAAAATGTTTAACAAATGGGGAATTTTATATGTATTGCTGACATTCTTTACTAAAAATGTTACAACATTAAGGTATGATTTCTAGTCAGCTGGTAACCTAACTCAAACTGATCCTATCTGCATCTATTCAAACCCAAAATGTCATTAACCTACTGGCCAATGGTCCAGTCATAGCCATTACTCTGATAACAAGCTGACTCTGGGTTATAAATAGGGAGATATGTCTTTTTCTGGAAAAAAAATTAGAAATTTCTAATGTTCTAAAAATTCTATGTCTAACAACAAAATTAATTGAAATTAAACTTAAAAATGTTAAAATAATGAAAAGAAATAGTGTCAGAATTCTTGTATAAAATCTTGTATCAAAAACTTGAGTACTGGTGACCCACAATGGACAATGAAAAATGATCTGGATTGTGATACTTTTAAGGTTCTCATTCATGGAAACAATAATTTGGAATACATGGTTATATAATCATTTTCAAATTTGATTCATCTTCAAATGTTCCAGATGAAAATAAAACTTCACATGTATATATATAAAAGAATTTTTTCAACAACATTATAAAATTGAGTAGGTAGCATCATCTTTCACCATTAGTGATAAATGCTTTGTGTCAGTTTATGATTTTATTTCAATTTAATGTGCAAATGAATAAAAATGTACATTGTTTCTCTTTATTTCAAAGTAAAGGTTTGGAGATCAATTGTAACAGGCTAGAGGTTGAAGTTTACAAACAAAATCTCTGTGTATCTAGAAACAATAATTTTTTAAATATATGATTTCTAAGTGGCTTTTTATCAACTGAGGTGGTCAATTTTGCCAGTAGCAGGTTCTTAGAGAACACACTAATGTATTGAAATATTAAAGTTACAAGTTAACATCATGTTTTATACAAGGGAGTCAATTTGAAGCTGAAGTCATGGCTAGCTAGCTTGTAATGACTGGAATTCAGGCTGTAGACTTTAAGGGTTGGAGTTGACATGGTTAAAGTTCAGTCAGGGCTCTGTTTGAGATCGTAACAGCTACATAGCTTAATGTAGCCACTACGATCTTGAATGATATGCTGGCCTAGCCATAACAAGCATTATTCATACAGTGTGTTCAATACGACCTAGATATCTAACGTAGCAGATAGGCTAGCTGCTACGATCTTGAACGCAACCCAGGTAACAAGTTGATATTACCAATCAAGTCAAAATTGGGAGTGCCTCTAATCTAATTAATAAGTAAAACTATCTGAAATTAAGTATTATCCTTAAGTATAAACAAAGAATAAATATGAATAGTACATTATTATTTGTTACAAAAATATTAAGTAGCAAATACAACGCACAGAATTTGATAATTTTAATTTTTAATGCACTATTGAAGAAGCCAAAAAGACAGAGGGAATTCGAGTTCAGTATGGGAAATCTAACTGAGGATCATTATCATAATTTATTTGTATTAAATTTCCAGATAACTAGTTGCAAATGTACAAACCTTAAACCATTGAACAATTGCTTTGATTTTTCCAGTAGATGACAGAATTCATTCACAATTTTCTTTTCGTTTTCATCCAAAACTGGAAGGCTAACATCACTTGTCGACATTTTGTTGTGGTAGCATCGCCAGCACTCTCCAATCCAAAAAGAAAGTAAAAGATTTACGAAAAAGAACAACACAATGTAATACAAGAACTGAACATTCGATTAAACAAGAATGAATATAATAAAATAATTTCTAACTTTTTGACTGATTGTTTTAGAGCTAACTAAAAACTGAAGTGAAAGTCGAGTTGATTTCGAGAGTATAGAATCCAGGTCATTTGTGCGCTTGAGTGAAAACGCATGGTAAGAAATGGATTGCACCATTAGCAGTTGTAATTCTTTTTCTAAAAGCTTCAACAAATTTATTGCACAGAAGAAAGAACCCTGATGAACTCAGAGACCGAGGAAAAAAACCCAAGTCATATTCATGCTGGTAATTTGTCATGTATTTTTCTTCTAATCTGACAAAATATTAGGTCATGTGCGTTAAAATTAATTGAGGTCGTGGCTATTCCCATCAAAGTTTTTCACTCATTGTTTTACTTTCTAACGTTATCATTCTGCATGAATATTTTTCATTGTCAATTATTCAAAAGACTTGTTCGACAAAGTCAATTGAATCAGTGAAATAGAAGCTCTTGTACAGCATTTTCACTATTTCTGCAGTGAAATACAGTAATTTTATTTGAATAATGCATAAAAGTGATATTTTGTCATAGTGTAAAATAATATCAAAGTGGTATTTTGTCACTGTGTGAAAGAATATCAGAAGTGTGGCGAATCTTGAGATTTTCCTTCCCTTCACTAACAGTGTAGTGAGAATTAGATAGAATGTTCTATCATTAAAATGACAAATGTCCTACGGACCCAGTTTAACGATAGAATGCATTCCGTGTATTGGCAATGGAGCAAAGCAAACACGGGGCATTAACTCTCATAGTTAGAATAATCTAACTATGTCTCTGGACAGGCCCTCACCACAGTTAGAATGCCTCCCATATACCCGTAATGTAGCAGAAAATTGCAGAATCGCTCCGAAACGATTTTGGAGAAAATTAATGAAGTTGCATTGAAAATAACAGTCAAATTAATCATAACAAACCTTTTTGAGACTTTAAATACCTTTCATTTAAAAATTTAATCCATATAATGGAAGAATTCAACTTTTTCACAAACTTTTTTTACTCGTTTCAAATTTACACACCATGTTGACATTCGGAACTCTCGGGATTTTTCAACGTAAATGCACTGAGTTAGAGTTATCTCCCGTATTTTCTTTGCTACGTTGACAATACACGGAACGCATTCTATCGTTAATCCGGGTCCGTAGGACATTTATCATTTTAACGATAGAACATTCTATCTATAACTCTCAGTGCATTTACTATGAAAAGTCTAGAGAGTTCGGAATGTCAATATGGCATGTAAATTTGAAGCGAGTAAAAAAACATTGAGAAAGAAGTGTTGAATTCTTCCATTATTTGGATTAAATTTTTGGGTGAAAGGTATCCACAATCTCAAAAAATTTGTTATAAATAATTTGATAGTTTTTTCACTGCAACTTCATTTATTTTCTCCAAAATCGTTTCAGAGCGATTCTGCAATTTTCTGCTACATTGCGGGTATATGGGAGGCATTCTAACTGTGGTGAGCTCAAGGGCCTGTCCGAGAGACAGTTTTTTATTCTAACGAAGTTAGAATAATCTGTGTCTCGGGACAAGCCCTTGCCACGGTTAGAATGCCTCCCATATACCTGCAATCAGTGTCACACATACGTAATAATTGATATCAGGTTATCAAACGTTTATCGTTTAATAAACTTTATTGTTAATGAATGTGTTGTTTTAAATGGCAGAAGATTCGAAACCAACTTACCGGAAATTGTAAAACAAACATGACCTTGATCAGTTGTTGATTATGGTCGATTGGAGTTAAATTTAGCAGTGATGATATCCAAATTAGAAGAAGATAAAATAAGTTTTTGAATATATAGACCTAAAAAAAAATTTCATTAGAAACTTTATCAACTAAATAAATGTATTTATTTTTATAAGTGTTTGGTGAATTATTTACCAGGGATTTATGTCATATGTGACAATCATTCAAAAATGGGGAAGTTATACACAATAAACATACAATGTGATATCGGTGAAGTCAGTCCTGAGGAAAAAAAGATGAATCTTGAAAAAAGGGGGTTAAATTTAGTTCCTATGTAATACACACACCCCTACTTTTGAATAACTCTCTGACGAAAAAAAGTGTGTCCAATACACGTGACTTTATGGTATATATCCACTAAAAATAACAACTTTTAATTAGTAGATATTCCTTCATTTTTTTCTTGAATTGATTTTTTTTTTTTGCATATATATAGTCATCAATTTCAACAGGTTTTCTCTTTTTCTATAAACTTTGATCTGATGAATATGTCCATTACGTTTTGTTGTATCTAAGAAAGGACCAAATTATATGACACAAAATCTGAGATGAAATACGATTGCAACAATTTTCTTTAGTGCATTTGACACAATCAACAAACCATTCCAGTTGGAGTATCTGATAACCATAGCCGATTGTTAAAATATTTCTATAAGAAAAATCTCAAACGTCATTTGCTTTCATATTCATCAATGGAATTTGTTTTATCGTGACATGTTTGATCTAGGTCATGTTTATGTTTGATATTGTATCTGTTTTGAATGCAGCACAAATAATCTTGGTTAGCAGTGTTTTATAAAAACTGAAAATACATACTACATGTGAAATAAAACTGAAATGTGATTCTGTTCCAGAAAAAAAATTGTATATTAATCACCCCACAGCAAACTACACGCATTGGTGAGGGCCTGGGAAGGGGCTGGGCCATGCGCCATATGCACATACTGCTGAGAAATGGTGCAATGCAACAGCTAGTGTGCTGCACCATGCGGTGTGCCATGCAAAATGCAAGCACACATGATTTTTTAGTTTATAAGTTCATCGCAGTCAGCACTATTCTTCAATGAAGTTAGATGGAATCTGTAATGCATCATATAATAACATTGGATCCAACATTCAACATACTGACTCAACCACAATGACTTTTGGGAAAATCATTATACATTCATGACAATTCATTATATTTTGGGTTTGTAGTGTAAAGTGATGGGCCGATTATCACTGACAATTGATTGTCGGTCGTTAGGAGCTTTTCGATGCTACTAATCGATTACAAAATAAATGACGCTGACATCGCTGACAAAAATTAATATTGTAATAGATAGTTTTCGATTGGCGTGAATTTAGCAAGTTATTTCCTGTTAACTGCCATTTTGGAGGTCCAACGAGCGAATTTTCCTCTTTGAGCAACCAATTTTAAACTTGTATGGCAGGCATATGTGGGCAAAAATCTTTAAAATACTAAAATTATGAATTAAAGGAAGCTTGTGTCAACATAAATTCATAAGAAAAATTGTTATCTTCACCCAATTGCCCAGTATGACAAGTTTAAATTGGTTGAATAATGAAGGAATTCGGCTTGTATACCTCCAATATGGCGACCAACGGGAAATAACTCTTGTTAAAATCGTGTCAATTGAAAACTATCTATACTTTAATTTTATTACCAAATCCAAGTGCAAAGAGTTTTAAAGTAGTGATGAATGTTTATAATATCGAAGGTATCCATGCCATGTTGATGCTTTTACCACCATGATTGAATATATAGGGTCAGACTAATATCAGAAAACGGACAATATTACGAGGTTTTACTATACACAGGAAGCCCTTTAGTAGATGATCTGTAAACGTAACTATAATCAGGAATACAAGTCCAATTTCTGGATAAATACCTGTAAAACTTGTAATTCCAAGAAATAAATGCATTTAATGCAAGATGGCACGAATATCAATATCATTAATATTCCCTTTCAACATATTTAATGGGATTTAAATATAAATAAATTCCCATTCAATATATTATAGAATTTTTGTTTTAAAGTTAACAAATATTATTTTCCACTTTATTAAAAAAAATATTTTTGAATATTACTTTTTCACATTTATTTCATTTAAGTTAAAAATATTATAATAATTGATTTATAAATCAGTAATGCCCAGCTGATTATTACTGATGATTGATTCTGATTTTTTTCCAATTTCCCATCACTAGTAGTGTATATTGAACTAAATTTCAGTTTTGCAATACAGAAAATGCATAGCAAGTTTAGTTACTCAATAAAAGTATATATATCCAGATATATGCATTCATTATTTTTGGAAAGTGGAGGGGGGGGGGGGATGACTATTGGGAAAATTAACACATTCAATTAGAAAAAGGTACCTTTCTTGGCTTGGGAATGGGGCCTTTGAATGGCCTCAGTTATAGACAATCAAGAGCCCTGGGATGTTTCGTCAGATGAGATTCAGTGGCTGCATTTGACATACATTTTATTCTTGATTCACTCTATCTGGTTAACATACAAGTTTGGGTCATTTCTAGCCAATCACAAGTAACTTACAAGCCCAACCTGCACAAAGTTGTAGTTTTGAATGTTCTTGTAATTGCACACCCTTGTATAGATCTATGGATGCTTTTGTACCATATGTTTTAATTGTGCCTCCAGTGGTGGCTGGGGTATCAGTTGTATCTTAACAATTCAAGTTATAAAAGATTGTATTAATCAAAGACAGGCACCAATATTACATTTAAAACGGACAATTCATGTTAGGTTGTATACTTAAAAAAAGGGGGGAGTAATGTTAGGAACAAAGGAAGCTCTTCCTGAAGCAGGTCTATTTATAATAAACAAACTTACCAACTTTAGAACGATGATCTCTCCTCTGTTGCAGTGTCATTATTTTGAAACAACTACTTCATTTGTTTGGTCACAACACACTAGATAAAATTAGGTTTTGGTCTCTATCAAAATTCAGTAGCTTCTGAATACCGAGTTTTCGTACATCCAGAATATGTTGAATCTACATAGTAGTATTTTTTTTTATCATATCAAAAAGGTACATGGAAAATTGATGTGTTGGGGTTTGTTAGGATTATTTTCTATACAGGATAGAATATCTAATTGTTTATGACACACAAGAAGTTAAGATATTGATTTTGGATCCCAGGGGTGGGCATCGGTGAGTGATAATGTATGTAGAAAGTACAGCTGCCATCACTCATAACAGAATAACTTATTATTTAGTTACAAGATCATCCCCGACAATGTGAATATTATTTAGAGTTTAAATACCAGAATTGATTAGAATGTCGATAGAAAGCGCAAGTACATAAAATTGTTGAAATAGGAAACTTTTATGAATTATGAATCTAATTACGACTGATTAAACTTTTATGCAACTGACTGCATTGGTGTAATTGAAATATGGTATTGATCAAGACTATTAAAGCCCAGCCAACTTCACTGTGATATAATCTATTTTTGAAGTTAATACACATACATACATATATATATACATTTATGTATAGAAATTGATTACATTTAACCATCTCAGAATTCTGGTATAAATGAAGAAATTTTCAATAAAGTGTTCTAATTATAGTAATGGATGAACAACCTCCAAAGTTGGCCACTGATGCAGTGCTTGTCAAGAGTGAGAAAATTCCAGAAGAAGTGGGTACGGTGAAGGGGTATGACTTCAATGATGGGGTCAACTACCACAAGTTATTACAGTCCTACACCAGGTCAGGATTCCAGGCTACCAACTTTGGCAAGGCAGTAGAGCAGATAAATAAAATGGTAGGAACAGAGCTGTCAATGAATATTTATTTATTAGGGTTCTAGTATACATGAAGTATTCACAGGGCCCATCTGTCTGTCCTTTAAACACTTTTTAGTATTAAAAGTTTAAGTACTTCTGCGAACTCTGCTCATATGTAGAAAATGAAACTAATCAACCTAAATATTATATGATCTCTTGAGGTAGCTTTTTTAAATGTTCCTGTATTTAATCTTTCAAAATGTGTGTGTATGTGTGTTTGTGATGCACAATGCTAAGTGCATATATGTTTGTATAGTTAATAAGCGGTTACTGGTAATATATACACTTTGAAAACGCTTTTGTTATTCATGATCACTTAATTCCACATTGTCTGTAGACAGCCCATGTTTAAGTTTCTCTCTCTCAGATTGTTTATGTAAGGCCTAAGTTCCTCACTAACTCTGTGTCTGTAGATGGCCTAAGCTTAAGTTCCTCACTAACACTGTTTCAGATTGACTGCAAGCTGACCCCATTACCAAAAGAAAAGTTGGATGAGGTGAACTTGAACCCATGCAACAGAGAGAAGTCTAACTGTACCATCTTCCTGGGCTACACATCTAACCTGATCTCATCTGGTGTCAGAGAAACCTTCAGATACCTAGCACAACATAATATGGTTTGTAACATCCTCAAATTTCAACTTCATTTAAAACTTATTCAAATGAATAATAATTTCGAGAGTTATTGTTCCTAACTAAGGGTCAGACATCCTCAACAGAGATTTTAACTTGGCTTTAATAATCAGACTGAATGCAGCATACTTTGTTTAAAAAAACAAAAAACAAAACAGGGTTTCTGATGTAATTACAGATGCAAAAGCAGTGATGACAGATACTTTGTATGAAAACATGATGTATAACTTTATACGCTATACTGAGCTTTTGTGTCTATATTTGTGTGTTTGAATTCAGGGAAATTAATGGTTTGTCTGCGTTGTATATAGAAATTACAGTAATACAAATCATTCACTGTTTGTTGAATTCATGGCTTTTTAAAATAATTATTAAACAATATAGAGAAAAGTAAATTGGCTGACATTTCTGTGCATATGAAAGGATTCATATTGAAAAAAAATTCTAGTTAAAAAATAGATAGATTTGATAAATTTCCATTTGATGTTTTTGGAATAGATTGACTGTATAGTGTCCACAGCTGGTGGAATTGAGGAGGACTTTATCAAATGTCTGGCTCCTACCTATCTCGGGGACTTTTCCTTAAAAGGAAGTGACCTTCGCGAGCGTGGGATAAACAGGATCGGGAACCTACTGGTACCCAATGAGAACTACTGTCTATTTGAGGACTGGCTGATGCCTATTCTTGACAAAATGTTGGAGGAGCAGAAAAACGAGGTAGGCAACATTAGTATTTCAGTGGTCAGTTCAATCAATTGAAAAATGAGACAGGCAGTTAATATTTCAGTGGCCAGTTCAGTCAATGTTTTAGTTTTGCCCTTTTCTGCATGTTCATCCTTGGCATATTTTGTTGCTGACAGATTGACCCTGGATAGATGTTTTCAAATTTGCACAAAGGTCATGATGACACCAAAGTAAAAGAATTGACTCAGACCATGTTTACTTTTATATGCTACTGAGCTTTTGTGTTAGAAAGTGATGTAACTTGTCAAAGTCCAAATTCCCTAAGAAAGAGGTGTATGAATTGCTTCCATCTAACAATTTCAGAATGTGGTGTGGACGCCCAGCAAGATGATAGCTAGATTAGGAAAGGAGATCGACAACCCAGACTCTGTGTATTACTGGGCTTATAAGGTACACCTTGTGGCTTTATGATCTGTGAAACAGATGTACAATATTCTTTTCACCAATTGAAATTCTCCAAAAAATATATAATCTGATTTAATTCAGTCCTCTATCTTGTGGTTTTAAGATGCCAGCTTTATTTATGACAGTATATAACAGATTTATTATTTGTTCTAATGTTTCAGAACAACATTCCCGTATTTTGTCCAGCTCTAACAGATGGATCTATTGGAGACATGATTTACTTCCATTCTTTTAAAAACCCAGGACTGATGCTGGACATTGTTGAAGGTACATGAAGTCGTAAAAGATGACTGGTGTAAAATGTGTGCAATATTGAACAATTTACTGGTATTTATTTCTCTCAATTTTTAAGTCACACATTTGTTCTCATGAATGTCTAGGTTCTCTGTTTTTGTATAAGACCAAGAAAAATTTCATTTGTACCAGTTTACACAAAAGCCATGATGACACAAACGTAAAAGAATCAATTATGTTTAACTCTATACGCTATACTGAGCTTTTGTGTAATAGAAATTGAGCTGAAGATTTCTCAAACGTGTTTAGATTTTGCGGATTTATTATTACAGGGAATGTGAAACAATGCTTGATATTTAACAGAAGTTCTTTGATTCAGACTTCTCTTATGCATGTAACTAATTTGGAGTTGTGAATTACCTGATTAAGGGTTTGCGAATTTCTTGTCAGCTAAGGAGCACAATAAAAAATCGATGTTCAAAGCCCTTATATGTACCATTTGTTGCCCTTTTTTTCAGACATTCGACGGGTAAACAGTCAGGCTGTGTATGCTGTCAACACAGGAATGATTATACTGGGGGGTGGAGTCATCAAGCATCACATCTGTAATGCCAACCTTATGGTAAGGTTAACTGTGCAGCCAATCTCGATACCTTCCCTGATCACTTTTTACTTTATTTCTTAAAAAAGGTTTTAACCACATTGTCAGTTTTGGTAATGTTTCTTCTGAATTTTTAGTAAAATAAGGCTATTTGCATTGGTGTGTTTGGGGGGGGGGGGCACATAAAAATCACATATTTTGTGAGATCATATTTTTGTGGTTTGATGAAAAAGTTAAGATTCAAGGGGATTTGTTTTTGTGGTTGAAGAAGTGATATGTTGCTATTTTTATGCCCCGCCATGAATATGGCCGGGGCATATAGTGTTTGTCATGTCCGTCTTCCGTCCTTCTGTCCTTCCGTTCTTCCGTCCTTCCGTCTGTCCTTCCGTCACACTTTGCGTTTAGCTCTGTTCAAACCTCAGTTTCAAAGAAACTATCCAAGATATTTATGCCCCGCCATGAATATGGCCGGGGCATATAGTGTTTGTCATGTCCGTCTTCCGTCCTTCCGTCCTTCTGTCCTTCCGTCTGTCCTTCCGTCACACTTTGCGTTTAGCTCTGTTCAAAGCTCAGTTTCAAAGAAACTATCCAAGATATTTTTATCAAACTTCATATGCTGATAGATATTGATGAGAGCTATGCAACTGCATCAACATTTTTTGACCTTGACCTTTCCTTTGACCTTGATCTCACTTTTCTTAAATAAGTGTTTAGCTCAGTTTTAAAGATATCATTCAAGATAGTGTAATCAAACTTCATATGTTGATACATACTGATGTAAACTATTCAACTGCATCAACATTTTTTGACCTTGACCTTTCTTTTGACCTTGACCTCACTTTTCCTAAATTAGTATTTAGCTCAGTTTTAAAGATACCATTCAAGATAGTGTAATCAAACTTCATATGTTGATACATACTGATGTAAGCTATTCAACTGCATCAACATTTTTGACCTTGACCTTTCTTTTGACCTTGACCTCACTTTTCTTAAATTAGTGTCAAACTTCATATGCTGATGCATACTGATGAGAGCTATTCAACTGCATCAATATTTTTGACCTTGACCTTTCCTTTGACCTTGACCTCACTTTTCTTAAATAAGTGTTTAGCTCAGTTTTACCATTCAAGATAGTGTTATCAAACTTCATATGCTGATACATACTGATGAGAGCTATTCAACTGCAGCATCATTTTTTGACCTTGACCTTTTTCTTTGACCTTGACCTCACTTTTCTTAAATTAGTGTCAAACTGCATATACTGATGAAAGCTATTCAACTGCATCAATATTTTTTGACCTTGACCTTTCCTTTGACCTTGACCTCACTTTTCTTAAATTATTTTTTAGCTCAGTTTTAAAGAAACCATTCCTAATATTTTTATCAAACTTCATATGCTAATACATACTGATGTAACATTTTCAACTGCATCAACAATTTTTGTCCTTGACCTTTCCTTTCACCTTGACCTCACTTTTCTTAAATTAGTGTCAAACTTTATATGCTGATACATACTGATGTAAGCTATTCAACTGCATCAATATTTTTTCACCTTGACCTTTCCTTTGACCTTGACCTCACTTTTCTCAATTTGTGTTAAAATGTTGTGTTACTAATATACACTCGGCGGGGCATTCATGTCCTATGGACATATTTCTAGTTTTTTTTTTGTTTTTGTTTTAATTTACTTATTTTATTTATTATTATTTATTCTTTTTTTTTTTTTTTTTTTTTTTTTGGCTGCCATATGTAAATTCAAGAATACTATTTTAACAGGTAGTCCAATAATAAACTCATTCTAATCATTACTGAAAAAGTTCTTATTGTAAACTTGGAAGAAAAGAATGTGAGAGCAGTACAATTAACCCCCTGGGATTAATTATCTTGTCTAGGGCAGAACATTTTCCAGGCTTATCTTTGTCACTTTAAGGACCCTCTATACACCAATGAAAAATGTTTCTGGGCTCTGAGAAAAATTGTATCATATAAAGATATAAATAAGAAGTTTATCTATTTAATTTTCAGCATAGGGTACCTGCCATTTATCCCCAGGATAAATACTCAAAGACAATGAATTGTTGGTGAACTGAAATCACTGTTGCTTACTTAAATGGCAAAAATACATGCAAATAAGGTGTTCCATTAATTCAACTAGACCAAATGAAATGTTTAGAATGTTTGAATTGATTACAAATTGAATGATAAATTTAGATTTCAATTTATTCCATTTTAGATCTAAGGGCAGATTACTCTAACTGCATAAAAATTCCACGGAATTGGAACTCTTTAGTGTGCAGTGTATAGAGAGTTCTTAAGATGAATTAACATTTGTCTGCAACTGATGTTTGTTTTGAAGTTAAGGTCAAGCCTGGGTGATATTTGCATTCACTGAAGGCTGGCATTTTATAAAACACATGCTTTATTCTTGTTTAAATATACATTTAATTGAGTTATTATAGATATGATGTTTTTTACTGCCTTATGTAAATACAGGGATACTCCTTACGGGTTGTTGGATATTTATGAATTATCTTGAAATTTAATAAATACAGTTGTTATTGCATATTCTTCTTCGTATATTTTTAAATTTTTGTAATCAATTAAAATTCTCATTCTGTAAGCTGCACCCTTATATTTCTACCCCTCGGCGGGGCCCTTGCTGACTGGTCAGTTTTCTAGTTTTATCAAACTTCATATGCTGATAGATATTGATGAGGGCTATGCAACTGCATCAACATTTTTTTTACCTTGACCTTTCCTTTGACCTTGACCTCACTTTTCTTAAATTAGTGTTTAGCTCAGTTTTAAAGATACCATTCAAGATAATGTAATCAAACTTCATATGTTGATACATACTGATGTAAGCTATTCAATTGCATCAACATTTTTTTGACCTTGACCTTTATTTTGACCTTGACCTCACTTTTCTTAAATTAATGTTTAGGTCTGTTTTAATGAAACCATTCAAGATATTTTTAACAAACTTCATATGCTGATACATACTGATGGGAGCTATTCAACTGCATCAATATTTTTTACCTTGACCTTTCCTTTGACCTTGACCTCACTTTTCTGAAATAAGTTTTTAGCTCAGTTTTAAAGATACCATTCAAGATAGTGTTATCAAACTTCATATGCTGATACATACTGATGAGAGCTATTCAACTGCATCAACTTTTTTTGACCTTGACCTTTCCTTTGACCTTGACCTCACTTTTCTTAAATTAGTGTCAAACTTCATATGCTGATACATACTGGTGAAAGCTATTCAACTGCATCAATATTTTTTGACCTTGACCTTTCCTTTGACCTTGACCTCACTTTTCTTAAATTAGTGTTTAGCTTAGTTTTTAAGAAACCATTCATAATATTTTCATCAAACTTCATATGCTCATACATACTGATGTAACCTTTTCAACTGCATCAACATTTTTTGACCTTGACCTTTCCTTTGACCTTGACCTCACTTTTCTTAAATTAGTGTCAAACTTCATATGCTGATACATACTGATGAGAGCTATTCAACTGCATCAATATTTTTTGACCTTGACCTTTCCTTTGACCTTGACCTCACTTTTCTTAAATTAGTGATTAGCTCAGTTTTAAAGAAACCATTCATAATATTTTCATCAAACTTCATATGCTAATACATACTGATGTAACCTTTTCAACTACATCAACATTTTTTGATCTTGACCTTTCCTTTGATCTTGACCTCACTTTTCTTAAATTAGTTTCTGAATCAAACGTCATATGCTGATACATACTGATGTAAGCTATTCAACTGCAGCAATATTTTTTGACCTTGACCTTTCCTTTGACCTTGACCTCACTTTTCTCAATTTGTGTTAAAATGTTGCATTACTAATATTCCCTTGGCGGGGCATTCATGTCCTATGGACATATTTCTAGTTTTATGACATTTTGCAATTCTTGGATGATATGAATTAGTAGTGGGTCTCTTCATACCATGAAAAAACAAGAATTCCTCCCCCCCCCCCCCCCCCCTTGAAAATTACTGATTTCATAGTACTTGAAAAATTTTATAGATATAATTTTATTGATATATTAGAACTTCATTGCTGATTTCTTTATGCCCTGCCATGAATATGGCCGGGGCATATAATGTTTGTCATGTCTGTCTTCCGTCCTTCCATCCTTCCATTGCGCTTTGCGTTTAGCTCCGTTCAAAGCTCAGTTTCAAAGAAACTATCCAAGATATTTTCATCAAACTTCATATACTGATAGATATTGATGAGAGCTATGCAACTGCATCAACTTTTTTTTGACCTTGACCTTTCCTTTGACCTTGACCTCACTTTTCCTAAATTAGTGTTTAGCTCAGTTTTAAAGATACCATTCAAGATAGTGTAATCAAACTTCATATGTTGATACATACTGAAGAGAGCTATTGAACTGCATCAACATTTTTGACCTTGACCTTTCCTTTGACCTCACTTTTCTTAAATTAGTGTTTAGCTCAGTTTTAAAGATTTTTATCAAACTTCATTTGTTGATACATACTGATGAGAGCTATTCAACTGCATCAACATTTTTGACCTTGACCTTTCCTTTGACCTTGACCTCATTTTTAAATTAGTGTTTAGCTCATTTATAAAGAAACTATTCAAGATATTTTTATCAAACTCCATATGCTGATACATACTGATGAGAGCTATTCAACTGCATCAACATTTTTTGACCTTGACCTTTCCTTTGACCTTGACCTCACTTTTCTTAAATTAGTGTCAAACTTTTTTTTAAAGTAAACCATTCAAAATATTTTTATCAAACTAAATATGCTGATACGTATTTGTGAGAACTATTCAACTGCATCAAAAATGTTTGACCTTGAACTTTCCTGTGACCTTGACCTCACTTTTCTTAAATTTGCATTTTGCTTAGTTTTAAAGAAACCATTAATTAAAATGTATATATGTAAGCTTATGCACTTATACATAATTTGGTGAGAATTTATCATCTATATCCAACTTTTTAGATATCAGTTTTAAAGAAACTATTCAAGATATTCTCATCAAATTTCATACACTAATACAAATTTTCATGTTGCATTACTAATATACCCTCGGTGGGTCATTCATGTCCTATGGACATATTTCTAGTTTGTTTTTGTTTTTTTTCCCAGCGAAATGGTGCAGATTTTAGTGTGTTTGTAAACACTGCTGCAGAGTTTGATGGAAGCGATGCTGGAGCAAGTCCTGATGAAGCCGTGTCCTGGGGGAAAATCAAGAAAACAGCCAAACCTGTAAAAGTCAGTTTAATTGTTTATTTAGCTTTGTCTATCAGAATCAATCATTCATATATGTGGAGAAAAAAAAAGTATTTCACCAAAAAATATTTCTTTTCACACTATTTACAAATGCTAAGTTTGAGTACATGTATTTTTTGCAACACAACATGCCTGTGTCAGATGTAGTATCCTTAGTTTGGAATTTTCATTTTCATTTCACATAGTCAAATGAACACCTTACTTATACTATATTCTATTTGTAACCAGGTTTATGGCGAGGCTACATTGATTTTCCCTCTGTTGGTGGCAGAAACTTTTGCCAGGAGAGAAAAGGAGATCACATCACAGAAAGAATAAGACCAAAAAGTAGTACATCTGAGAATTCGTTTCACTTGTCAACATGGCTGTGTTCAGACAGTTTTTCTGAACTTGGTGATAGTATTGAGTAAAAGTGGTGAATCAAAGGAATCATGGAAGCATGTATGGCTTATAATACTGAATTTAAAGAGGGATCAATGAAATCCACATTGTCTCTTCTCATTTTTAGGGAAATGTCAAAAAAAAAAACTGAGAGTACTTTCACATACTTCAACAATGACTGAAGATCTGCTTCTATTAACCCACAGTGATAACTACATTTGGTCCCATGGGAGACGGAATCGAGAACTTTTGGATTATCTTGGTCTCAATCTTAAGTCATGCTTACTATAAAATAACATGGCTTCTTTTGATGAAAAGTTCCATGGACCATTGGAACATCTTCCCTATAGAAGCAAGGAGTAAGAGTGTTATGACAGTGCTAATAGCCATATACCTGTACAAAAAGATGATTTACCACCCATATTATGCTATGTTTTGTATTAAATTTTTGGTCACCAGAGTCATTTATGTTATCTATTACTATCTGTTTTTGTCCGTCATTGTCCATTGGTCGTAAACTTTTGAACATTTTCAGCTTCTTCTCTGAAACCAATTTCAACCAATTTTGGTATGTAGCAGGTATGGATAAAGGGAAACAAAAATTGTGACTTTCATGGTCCCTTGATTGCCCTATTTCTCTTGTGTTTGAGCAACATATCTATAAAAATGTTGCTTTATAATTAATTTGCCATTTTGTGGATCCTTAACAGGATTGTATTATGCTCTGGTGACCATTAAGGCCCTTGGGCCTGTTGTTTCATATACATGTAGTCATTTGTGTATGATCTTGATGTTATGAAAATGCAGAATTATTTTTGTTATATTTATGACTTTTTAACCTTGCAGTGTGATATTTTTATTTTTTTTTAATCAGTACATACGTGTACTCATTTAAGATTTTGTTACAAGAATCCTATTAAAGTTTTCAGTTTTTAAATGTTGACTTTATTTCTTTATGTATTACCTATATATGTATTTCTTTCATTATATTTCTTTGGTATTTTACACATGTATTGCTTGACACTGTAGCTTTTGTAAAATAACATGGTTATGGCTTCTGACCTCATGACCTTTGAACTTGACTTTAGACCTATTTTTCAAAATAGTTCATGGTGGCAATATACAATATATTTTTGACATTTTTAAGAGGTAACTCTCTGCTAGTTAGCATGTACAATATTGTTGTAACACATTTTGAAAAATACCAGCATATAGTCCACCTGACCTTGACCTTTGACATACTGTGTTAGTATCATGTTTGGGATCAAAGTTTTACATGAGAATATATAGGACAAAATGTTTAAAAATCTTTTCAAGAACAGCAGGACAATGTTAAGTGATATTAATATGCAAGCATCCTCAGGGAGTTCATATTCAAGTTTGTTCAAATCATGGCCCCAGGGGGTAGGGTGGGGAAACAGTAGTGAATCAAAGTTTTACTTGAGAAAATATAGGACAAAATGTTTGAAAACATTCTTCTGAAGAACAACAGGGCTATGATATGTGGTATTAATATGCAAGCATCCTCACTTGGTGCAGATTCAAGTTTGTTCAAATTGTGGCCCTCGAAAATAGGGCAGGCCATAGTAGGGGCCGAATTAGACTTTTACATGGGAATATAAAGGACAAAATGTGTAAAATTTTCAAGAACAACAATTTCAACAAATCTACACATAAAGCATCCTTGGGTAAAGGGGATTAAAGTTTGTTCAATTGAAAGATTATGCCCTCTTCCAAGAGGAGATAAGAGTAGTGTTATGATAAATCATATGAGATTCCTTTTTTGTGCATATATGAATTTACCCAAATTTTGGCCCATGGAGTAGGATGCGTGAGTGGATTTAGAGGGGGAATCAGGAGGAGCCAGCTGGAATGCCCCCTCCTGAATTTCAGATTTTCAGTTATTAAATTTCTATATAAGTAAACAAAAAAAATAACCTTCAAACCCCGTCTGTCTCCTTCCTACTTCAGGGATTTAAGAAGGAAGTTACTTTTGTGAGCATGGAATAAACAGGATCAGGAACCTACTGGTACCCAATGAGAACTACTGTCTATTTGAGGACTGGCTGATGCCTATTCTGGACAAAATGTTGGAGGAACAGAAAAATGAGGTAGGCAGCATTAGTATTTCAGGTCAATTCACTCAACAAAATGTTGCAGGAAAAGAAAGATTAGATATGCAGCTTGTATTTCAGTGGTCAATTCACTCAACAAAATCTTGCAGGAGTAGAAAGATGAGGCAGGCTGCTAATATATTGGTGGTGAATTCAATTAACATGATGTTAGGGGAATAGAAAATAAGGTAGGCAGCTAGTATTTCAGTTGCCAATTCAACATGTCAATGATTTTATTCTGTTTTATGTCTTCATTCATTGGGATCTGTTGTCATTTACAGATTGATCCTGAGTAGGTGTGTTTAAATTTGCACAAAAGTCATGATGACACCAAAGTATAAGAATTTACTCAGACCATGTTTACTTTTATATGCTATACTGAGCTTTTGTGCAAGTAAATTCATTGATTTGATTTGTCAAAAGTCCATAAGAAAGAGTTGTATAAAATGCTTCCATGTTAAATTTTTCAAGAATGTTGTATGGACCCCAGTCTGGACCCCCAGCAAGATGATAGCTAGACTAGGAAAGGAGATTGACAACCCAGACTCTGTCAATTACTGGGCTTATAAGGTAGACCTTGTGGCTTCATGATATGTGAAACAGACGTACATTATTCTTTTCACAAATTGAAATTCTGCAAAAAATATAATTATAAGCAGATTTAATTCAATCCTCTATCTTGTGGTTTTAAGTTGCCTTTTTTTATATGACGGTATAATATACATTTAAAGTATATCATTTAGGGAGTTAGCAGGATTCCAGTTCCCAAAGGGCAGGACTATTTCCTGAGGTGAGCCTTGGGAATTAGTTCTGGGTAGAGGGGAACTGGAATCTTGTTAACTCCCTCAATGATATACGTTTGAACTGTTTTATAATACCCATACATACCTATATCTAAAGGATTACACATAACCAGGAATTAACTTGCGATAAGTTCACCTGACTAATGCATGATAAAACGGGGATTAGTCCATTCACAGAAATTTCTAGGGAATTATTTACATCTAATGGTCTATTATAATTTTATATAGGGAATGTTTTAATATTTCAGAACAACACTCCATTATCCTGTCCAACTCTAAATGACAGATCTATTGGAGACATGATTCACTTCCATTCCTTTAAAAACCCAGGACTGGTGTTGGACATTGTTGAAGGTACAAGAAGTTTAGAACATGACTTCTGTTAAGTGTGTGCAGCAATTTTACTGATTTTCTTTCAATTTTTAAGTCACACATTTTCTCATGAAAATCTCTATTCTCTGTTTTGTATAAGAACGAGAAACATTTCATTGATACCAATTTACACAAAAGCCATGATGACACAACTGTAAAAGAATCAATTATGTTTAATTCTATACGCTATACTGAGCTTTTGTGTAACAGAAATCGGTTTAAAGATTCCCCAAATGCTGATTTATTTTTTTCTGGGATTGTGTCACTACAATTTACAACACTTCTCTTTATATTCACACTTTTCTTGTGTCACTAAATTTGATCACAATTGTGAATTATCTGATCAAAGATATGCAAAGAATTTCTTGTCAGTCAATGAATACAATAAAAAAAATGATATGTTCAAAGCCCTTATTTGTGCATTCTTTTCCACTTTTCTCCAGACATCCGACGGGTAAACAGTCAGGCCGTGTATGCTGTCAACACAGGAATGATTATACTGGGAGGCGGAGTCATCAAGCATCACATCTGTAATGCCAATTATGTCAATTATGTAATGCCAATCAGTGATCCTCATGAAGAGGTGTCCAGGGGAAAAATCAAGAAAATGGCCAAACCTGCAAAAGTCAGTGTAATCCTTTATTGAGCTTTATCTTTTCAGAATCTATCATTCATAATTATATTTTGTGGAGGGAAAAAGCAGATTGTAAAAAAAAGGTTCATTTAGACTGCATGTACTTACAAATAGTTGGAATATTTTTTGCAACTTAATATGCCTGTGTCAAATGTAATATCATTTAATAATTTTGAATGATAAATTTTCATTTAATTAAGACAAATGAACACCTTACTAATACTGTATTCTATTTTGTAACCAGGTTTATGGTGAGGCTACATTGATTTTCCCTCTGTTGGTGGCAGAAACTTTTGCCAGGAGAAAGATCACATCACAGAAAGAATAAGAAATAAAAGTACTCTTTGTCAACATTCCAAGCTGTGTCGTACAATGAGAGGAAGTTTTTGACTATCTGGGACAAATCTGCAGATCATCCTCATGGCTCTGTATTGAGACTTTTTTTCAGTAACCTTGTGATAGTATTGAGTAAAAGTGATAAATGAATTAAAGCCTGGAAATTTATAGTATTTGTATGTTTTTTATTAGTCCCCTACCGGTGAAACCGGAGGGGACTATAGGTTTCCTCTGAGTCTGTCCGTCCATCTGTCTGTCTGTCCCTCTGTCTGTCTGTCCCACTTGGTTTTCCGCACTTTTTTCCTAAACACTTGCAGATATTGAGCTGATTTTTGGTATGTGAGTGTATCTTGATGAGTTACAGATTAAGTTTTCATTTCGTTCCGCTTCATTGATTTTTGACGGAATTACGGCCTTTTCAATTTTTAAGGGTTTTCCGCAATTTTCTTCTAAACGCTTTCAGATATTGAGCTGATTTTTGGTATGTTACTTTACCTTGATTAGTTATAGATCAAGTTTGCATTTCGTCACGCTTCATTGATTTTTGACGGAATTATGGCATTTTCAATTCTTAAAGGGAACCAGATTACACTTGCCGGTAGGGGACTAGTATTGCTAATGCAATACTCTCAGAATGCTTGTTTAATTTGAATTTAAAGAGTGATCGTTGAAATCCCGGATTGGTCTTTCAGCAATGGTGAAAAAAATTCAGAAAATTACTGTCACATACTATGAATGGAGATATTCTATTATAAAGCTAGCAGAACTAACTTCATTCTGTCCTAATTGAAGATCAACAGGGAACAGAAATTTTTGGTGATCCCAATCTAAAGAATGTATAATTCCTTTAATCATATATGAAGATTTTGTTTTAAATGCAAGGAGCATATGTGTTGTGACTTTGCTAATAAATACATGTACTCGTATGTACCTGTACAAGAAGATGATTTGCTTGCCTTGTTTTACTATGCAAATTTGCATGTCTTACATGACTTTGTTTAAGTACTTGTAACTTCATTTGCTTTTGATCTTTATGTTACCAAAATGCAAATTTGTTTTGTTACATGTATATTTATGAATTTTGAATTGTGCAATGTGATATTTTTATATTTTATTTGTACTTGTTGAAAAAAAAATCAAATTTTAAAATGTTGAGTTTTACATATGCATGTACTTAGTCAGACGTGTAAATAACAGATATGTTGGAGTTATGTGCACATTTTAAAAAAGTAATTATTAAATTTTTCAGGATAAAATGCATTTCAATACCAGGAGGTATTTAAAATGTTTAAGAGGGTAAAGTCCACTTCTTTCTCACTTGAATGAGTTGTCTAGATTGAGAAGCTCAGTGCCCACAGCATTGGCAGCTATTCATCCATGCAGGCTGGCCAGTGGCCCTAAAATTCAAAAAAAAAATTTTTTTTTAGTTTCGCTAAAACCCTAAAATAAATGTTGAATTTAATGGGAAATCCTTAAAAAAGCCTTAACTGTTCATGTCAATTCCTATTTCTTTTTTAAATATTTCTACTTTAGCAAGTTTGAAAATGCATTCATTCAAAATGTGTTCTAAATTTCTAATGTAGTTTGCAGTGAAAGCCATTTGACCAGAGTCAAGAGGCCTTCCTGTACTTAAAATATTTTTATGAGTTTATACATATTATTGTCAGATTTACGAAGGTAAGTCCATATCCATGTTTTAAACTGACTTAAAACTAAAATTCCCAGTAATTTGAGCATGAAAATAGCTCTCTTTTTATGCCCCTGCCATAAAATGGCCGGGGGCATATAGTGTTACCCTGTTCCGTCATTCTGTCATCATTGACTTTCTGTTCATTATCTCGGCAACAGTTGTACACATTCAACTCATATATGACATATGGATACGTCATAGGAATTCCGAAAACGCAGGTCAAGTTCGAATTTGGTTGTTGTCTGATGATTTTTGGCAGAGTTATCCCTCTTGAACTTAGAAAAAATAAGAAAATTTCAGTTTCCACTCTTTAACTTTTGTAGGAATGTATAACGTTGAAATTTGCATATGCAGGTATTTTACTAGAAAATACAGGCCAAGTTTGAATTTGGTTGGGTCCGATGATTTTTGACAGAGATATCCCTATTAATCTTAGAAAAAAAAATGATAAATTTTCAGTTTCCTCTCTCTAACTTTTGTAGGAATGTAAGTATAAGGTTAAAATTGCATATGCAGGTATTTCACTAGAAAATACAGTTCAAGTTCGAATTTGATTGTGGTTTGGTGATTTTTGACAGAGTTATCCCTCTTGAACTTAGAAAAAAAAGAAGAAATTTTCAGTTTCCGCTCTCTAACTTTTGTAGGGCGAGTAGGGATGAATGAAAAAGGTTGAAATTAAATATGCTGGTATTTTACTAGAAAATACAGGTCAAGTTCGAATTTGGTCGTGGTCTGATTTTTTTAACGGTTATCCCTCTTGAACTTGGAAAAATAAGAAATTTTCAGTTTCGCTCTCAAACTTTGTAGGGATGTATGTATACGGTTGAAATTGCATTTGCAAGTATTTTACTAGAAAATACAGGTTAAGTACTTTGGTGGTGGTCCGATGATTTTTCACAGAGTTATCCCTCTTGAACTTTTAAAAAAAGAAGAAATTTTCAGTTTCCGCTCTCCAACTTTTGTAGGGATACATGTAAGTATAAGGTTAAAAATATTTCACTAGAAAATACAGTTCATATTCGAATTTGATTGTAGTCTGATGATTTTTCATAGATAAGAGTAATCCCTCTTGAACTTACGGAAAAAAGAAGAAATTTTCAGTTTCCGCTCTCTAACTTTTGTAGGGCGAGTAGGGATGTATGAAAAAGGTTGAAATTAAATATGCAGGTATTTTAGTAGAAAATACAGGTCAAGTTCGAATTTGGTCGTGGTCTGATTTTTTTAACGGTTATCCCTCTTGAACTTGGAAAAATAAGAAATTTTCAGTTTCCGCTCTCAAACTTTGTAGGGATGTATGTATAAGGTTGAAATCTGCATATGCAGGTATTTTACTAGAAGATACGGGTCAACTTTGAATTTGGTTTTGGTCTGATGATTTTGGACAGAGTTATCCCTCTTGAACTTAGAAAAAATAAGAATTAAATTTTCAGTTTCTGCTCTCTTACTTTGTAGGGATGTATGTATAAGGTTGAAATTGCATATGTAGGAATTTTACTAGAAATTACAGGTCAAGATCGAATTCGGTCGTGGTCTGGTGATTTTTGACAGAGTTATCCCTCTGAAACTTAGAAAAAAAAAGAAGAAATTTTCAGTTTCCGCTCTCTTAACTGAATAAGGTTGGAATTTAGTTGCATATGCGCTATTTTACCAGAAAATTCAGGTCAAGTTCGAATTTGGTCCTGGTCCGATGATTTTTGACAGTTATCCCCCTTGAACTTGGAAAAGATTTAAAAATTCACAATTTCTTATCATTGTCTCGGCTACAAATGTGCAATTTACAATTTGAAATTTTGACTGGCTGCGGGGGCATTCGTGGCGTTACGACACTTCTAATTTTTTTTTTTTTTTTAAATTTATCTCTAAATTTGCCCTTATTTTTAGTTAAAGAGTGCTAGACATGAATAATCTGTCCCCCATGCACTGTAAGAAGATACATAATCTAACATTAATGCTACCCCTTCCCCGAAAGAGTTTTTTTTGCATCCGCCGCTAAGATTTTTGGCAGTCACCAGCCCCCTCCCCGAAATGGAGTTATTTTGGCAGTTTCCTTTTTATAGTGAGAAAAAAAATTATATGGCTGGTCATTTTGGGAAAAATATTCTGTCCTATGAAAGCGTAAAAAAATAACATGACGACACAATTTGCCACCCCCCTTCAGAATCAAGTGGTCGTCCCCTTAATACTGTGGGCATAGAGTAATCTGAGACCGTACAGCAATCTTTCTAACTAATTGTTGTTATGATGTCGGGGAATATTCTCAATTTATGATTCTTTGTGCAGGGAATGTTAGAAAAAAACCCGATAGCTAATAATGTATGTAAAATATGTAACCATTTCCATTGTAGCTATTTTCAAAATATGTGGTCATTAAGTACAACAGTTCAGGTATTGAAATCTGGGAACGTACCAACGTGGCTAGGAACAAGAAGTATTTTAACCTGTTTTTTACGTAATTATTGTCTTTTGGCAACTATATTTCTTTATCATTTTACTAATAATTCTGTATGGGTATGGGTTGGTTAAAGCTTGCAGCATTTCTCTATACGATGACCTATGTTTTTTCGTTGGAAAGTCAGAGTCATTTGAGGATTTCTAACAATGGATATGAGCTGCTGGTGGTGGGGGTTCATGACAGCGTTCCAGACAATCCCGCTACCTTACAAAAACTCAAGGTATATAACATTGTTTTTTAACTTTTGGGTTGATGCTTGTAATGATAATTATGTAGATTTAAAGAAGTGTCTGATTCTTAAACAATAACCATGCTTATGTTTGATCAGTGATGTCAAGGTATACTTTCTAAATTTCAAGACTACTTTTATCATTTGGTTTTCTTCATTTTCGTTGAAAAAGACAGTTTAGAAAATGTTTTGCGTTGTGTTTGCCGAAATAATACACCTAATTTGACAAAGCTTTAGTAGTGTCATTAAAGAATTTGAGAAACCTGTAGGCACCTTTCATTCACTATACCTTTGCAATATACCTTTATGCAAAAACAATTTAGACTTTTTGACTAACGTAATTGCTTCTTGCATAATGGAAGGATTTCTCTTTCAGACAATTTTTACAAAGGCATCCAAAGTACTGTATACTGCAACAAGAAAGAGAGCATACTTCAAGAAAATTTTCTTTATTCTGCCCAGTTCGTGGGCAAGCCGTCCAGAGTACAAGCCGTCCACCTCGGTTACATTAACAGGGGCAGATATAATATTCTCAGCGCCCAGAGGTGCCACAAGAAGAAGTTTTTCTCATACGAGATCTTATGTGGGTTGTGGCCATCAGGCGTTCCATACCCAACTGACAACAGATGTTCTGAATAGCAATCATCCACTTGCACAGTCTTCCCCTGGTAACACATGCTTTAATAAAAGCGTATCCAAATCTTTTCCTGCGTGGGGCAAGGGGAATTACATTCAATTTTTCTCTGTAGAAGTGATAACCAAATTAATGATAATAAATTCAGAGAAAAATGGCGAGATGTCTCTGAATTTGAAATTTCTAATCATTTTCATATATGTAATGTAAAATCACGTTTTTTTTTTTGTTTTTTTTTTGGGGGGGGGGGGGGGGGCTATGGGTTCGTGGGGATTTGATTTCGTGGATGAAGAATTGTTTATTAGTTAGGCATTTGACATTTTACATTTCGTGCATGGTAGACATGGATTCGTAGGTTTTTTCATACCTCGAAAACAGCGAAAATTAAACCCCAACGAATTTTAGTGACTTCACAGTTATATACATGTATTTCAGTGTATAAAATACATGTATAGTTGTACGTACATCAATGAGGTCATTGGACATCTCGGTTTGCTTTATAATTTCTTATCAACTCGTAAGATAATTCCCTTTTGTACATGTACCTTCTTCCCTGGTGTGTTCATCATGCACGACTATTGGCAAAATACAGAAACTAAGCAATTTTGTATATGTGAAACAATGACAATTGCTTATGATTGGCATTCTTGAAGTATCACTTTCCCACTTTGCTTGTATTTTCCAGAGAAATACATAATCCACGAGTTTGCCACACTTCGATATGGTGTGTTCGAAGAATATCCAAATCCCGGAGAAAACGAATTTTACTTTTCGACAGCGTATGGAAGACTAGATCCGGTTCGATGCACTGTTGGACTTCGTGGTATCATTAAAAGTTCGAAGGGATACTGTCTTTTCACTTCCATTGATCCGGAAACTGGGGAATTCCCTCCAGGATGCCATTATATGCCTTATCCCTACAGAGCAAGTGGAACGGCGTCAATGATGGACCACCAGTATATCAGAGAGGTAATCACAACATAAGTCCTTAAAATAACAGTATATGATTTAAAAGAAATCTTTTTTAAAAAAAAGTTACATCTGCACTAAATTTATTGCACAATACATGTATAGTTAGCTGAAAATGGATGAACTATCATGTAAATGCAAAATTTACAACTTGGTGATAAATTTTGCATTCAACATGATAGAATGCTTGTTTCCTGATTTCGTAAGCTTTATAAATTTTCAGAATTTTTTTTTTTCAACAAGAAGTGTATTTGAGAGTTATGTGAAATATTTCAAAGTTTTATGGTTTAACATCCCCGCTTTTATCGATATTTTTATAAAAGTTTTACCAGCACATCACAACTGTCATGTTTCATCTTCGGTGCTATTAAAAAACTGAGGGACAAAGGCGATTATGCTAAATATCTGTATAAAACTTTCCTGTGACGCCTAATCCAATAATATAACGTAAAAGACTAATTTTATTTGAGAAAGAAATACTGTATAATTTATTTAGTGAAAAAAATTAAAATAAAGCCGGTGAAAAGTAGTGCACAGAGGTAACTGCGTTGTATACGGAATTTTCACAAACAATGGAATGCAGATGCCCGAGTTGCTATGAAGATCAGAAATCTAGAGTCCCGGAACCAAACATGTCATAAACAACAAAGTCAGAGAGTGCTAAGGTTAAGTATAATATGGATTTTTTGCGTTTTCTGTGCATTTGTTGCACTATCGTTTCACACACATCAGCAACACATATAAGGATAAGAAACAATGGATACGAATTAGTTGTGGTTGCTTTACATGATAGTGTCAAAGAAAGTTCACAAGTGCTCACCAATTTGAAGGTATGTATTAATGTTAATTCTGATGACACGATTTCAAATTGATATAACATGTTATTTCTTTATTGTAAAAACTAAATTCTTCAGTCCAGAATATTAGTACAAAATATTCTAGAAAACGAACAACACTGAAAAAATATGTTGAAACAAAATGAGTATTTTATTTTATACTGAAAGTTAAGAATAAAATTATCTTACTATAAACAGAAAATTATTTAACTTTATCGATCGTTGATATCAACTGAGCTCCATGTAGAACATTTAACATTTTTTTCAGAAAATAATCTCAGATGCCTCGAAGGTTTTGTATACCGCTACAAGACACCGTGCGTTCTTCCGTAAGGTGTTCATATTAATTCCCAGCACCTGGTCCAGTAGTCTGGCGGACCGAGATTCTACCAGTGTCAACCTGCAGGAAGCTGACATAATATTATCAAATCCCTCCGCAGTAACAAAAAGAAGTTATCGCCGTACCAGAAGCTATGCAGGGTGTGGACACCCAGGAATTCATATCCAGCTCAGAACGGATGTTTTATTGAATAATGGTCACCCACTTGTCCAACACAAACCAGGTACATTGAGTATATTGTAGTAGATCACTAATGACGAATATCGTCATATTTACATTAATTTTCATTTAGTGAGAGGATCTGTTATGCCATCAAATGATTAATTAAAGTAGTAAAGTGACGATCACGTACCGATAATTTTACAAAAACAGTTTTTTTTAAGAAAGGGATAAATTAAAAGAAATGTTATATATTTTAATGTTAACAAAATAGAAAGATCTCCGTTTGGATGTTTTGAGGATGTACATGGCATTATTTTTTCTATCTGAATAAGAGTCCTTTACTGCATCCTCATTTCTGCTTTGCATTTATTTATGAAATGATAGTTTTTTGCCTCAGCCTGTACAATACTATTTCTTGCCCCCCTTTCCAAATCGAACAACCGAGCCTAGGAAAACGAGTAACACCTGCAATATGAATTTTTTCTTTTTTTTTTTTTTTCTTTCAGAGAAGTTTTTGGTCCATGAATTCGCCAAGTATAGGTATGGGGTGTTTGAAGAGTATCCTAACCCGGGGGAGAACCAGTTTTACTTCTCCACCACCTTTGGGAGGGCTGATCCCGTACGATGTACCACTGGATTGATCGGAAGAATCGTGAAGAGGACCTCCAGTGGAATCCAAATTTGTTCTTATGACACTGTAGACCCTGTGACAGGGGAATTCCCGGAGGGCTGTTCTTATTATCCGTACCCCTCTCACAACAAAGGCACTGCGTCCATGATGGACTACTCGTATATCCAAGAGGTAAACGGTGGACAAGGCAATAGTGTATCAAAAAAGTAGAAAACAGTAATGTTTTAGTCCTGAGCATACAGCATGTCCATTTACAGATTCAGAATAAAATATCCGTCGGATAATCCGGTGAAGTTTGCTACATGTACAGTTTACATTTACACGTATTTGTTTATCAGGTTCCTGATAATTTTCATATGATACTTGTATAACTAATAATTGATGTAGATGTATTTGACTATGGTATATGGTTCATGGACTCTATAGGGTTTGTCTTCATTTACAACGTATACTAGTACGTCGTTATTCTTTTGGCATTGCATGTATAGTTTATTTAGTGTATGATGATATGTAGAGTTCGTCTTTATAATTCCTGGTATACAGTGCGATTATACCTGTATTAGTGAATCTGCAGAAGTTCAAGAACGGAAAAAATGGGATCGTCGACCATTGCTGGTCATCCATCCCAAATATTTCTGGACTATTGAGCTACAGATCTGTAGGTAATGTACTAATTAATGGTGATGGTTAGTATTCTCTTGTCATCTCTGGCGTTATGGTCATATATTCCAGACTTACCGGGTTTGACTGTCACGTGATATGGCAAGAATTTTGAGTTGCATATAACATCAGTGTAAACATCTAGTAAATACACATTTAAATTGTTTGTACATATTTTATTGCAGATTACGATGTAACTGAAGAAATTACATTTAAACATATTGGCTAATAAAGAAGGTCTTCATATAAGTTAAAATCACAATAATCTAGACGAAGCCTAAACATCATGGTATTTCCAGATACAAGATTTTTGCGATGACGACCATACACCAGGGCATTTCAGCCACAATGTGGAGCCACCTAATCGCCACAACCGACTTTGCAGCCACCGCAGTACGTGGGACGTCATCAGTAACACACCGGACTTCAAGAGCGCCAATTCCCCAACAACTCTGTCAGACTCGCAGCTGACCCCACAGTTCATCATCTTTAGGGCACCTCATCGACGGCGGAGACGGTTAGCTGTGGTACTGGATTCTCCACAGGTAAGAAATTCGTTAAGGTTGTCGATCATTTTTGCCTGCCTTTATAACTTTAACAAAGTATTAATTTTGATGTCTTTGTGGGAAGGGAATTTTTTGTGTAAAGTCAGTTTGGGCACCAAAGAGGTTACCAAAGCAATAACTAAGTCCAAAGTAGGCAAGCGGAATATATGTAAATAATGCTAAAACGTAAATCTTTGAAACAAATTGACACAGAATAATACACGATAAGTTTCAACATTTTACGCTAATTTATAATATTAATGAACCCCTCTATGTGTGTAATTTTCAGAGCCATTATCCCAAGATTTAACATTAATTATTCCTATTTCTCAAAATTCTTATCATCTAACTAAAGTAATGTGTCCTGGACATGCTAGATCTGAAAATATGTCAAGATACAAAAATCGTGAAATATGAATATTGAACAATTCTGAGTACCACACTGCCACCATATAGCATCAGTCTTTCCACATTGGGTATAGGTTGGAAAAGATTGAAAGTCCCTTGATTGCTCTTCAGCTGTCCTGACCGTTAAGGCCCAAAAGCTTATATAATGAAACATGAATAGTATTACTGAGGTAAAAATAAATGAATATACTATATAACGGATATTTTATTTACTAAAAGGAGATTCACAAAAGAATGAGACTTCACCAAGCAGTCGACCATTTTCTTCGTGAGGGATTCAACACAGACACTAGAGTAGCCATTATCCATAATGATGCCAACAGTGTGAAACCAAGAAGACTAAGGAGCAGGAGATCCTCTGTTATCAAGTCTGTTCTACAAAACATTGATCATTTCTCTCCTTCATTTTCAAAGACACGATCTCGGATACAAAGAGGTGTGCAGGTAAACGTAAAGAAAATTCAATATTTGGCATAAGGTAATTCGCTGATAAAAACGAACTTATCTTTGACAACTTCAACAAAATATCTTTCATCCTTTGCATACTAAGGAATAGTAATTTATCCAATTTATCTATATTTTGTACCTTTTATAAAATATCTTCCCTCCCTTAGTTACTAAGGAAAAGTAATTTAACCACTTCCGGGATGGAGCAGCATCTGATTTGGATCACTTGTGACAACCAATCAAATGTCGAAGAAAGAGACCTGCAGAATTTAGCTGATCTTGATATTACTCCTCATATCATTCACTGTGGTGATGATGGAATAAAACATTTGGAAGAAGTAGCAACACAACAAGGCAAGACAAAGGCTTGAAAATGACGAAAAATTCTTGTAACATGTTTTGAAATTACAGCGTATCATTTTTCGATTTATGAGGAATGGTATTATTTTTTTTTCATCAAACTTTGCAGGTGGTATTGTTGAATCGAAAGGTCATCGATCCATTTTCCATGCTATACATCGTCTATTGGAGAAGTTACATGATGAAAAAGACCAGATAGTACAGGTTTGATACAAAGGCATAACTGTATTAAACAACTATTGCTATAATATCCCCAAATGAAAAGATGAAGCATAGGATGGTCGCGCATTTGCATACAGTATCATTAATCAAGCTCCGTGTTATCCATTAGTAAAGATAGTCCTGGCGATGTTATCCACAAACCATATGAGTTTTGCTTTGAATGAGTGCAATCTCATTTAATTAAGTTAAATTAATACAAATACTTCACGTATGAATGCTAATTAATGTCTGCAATAATGCTATTTTACTAATTAATAATGTTGTAAAATCTACTGAATGATTATATAATTAGTAATTATATAATCATTCAGTAGATTTTACAACAGTGGTTGTCTCTAGAAGGCGTAATCTTGCGTAAAGATAACACAATGGGTTAATGAATATTTCTGCTAAATCAGTTATGTTATATAATAATAGATTTCGAATGAGAATCTAGAAATTGACAGAGAAAAAACACACTATGGAAACTTTATACTGGACGAAACCCTCCAAGGAGAATTAGTGATACGGATACATTACAATTCCTCAGCACCTTCTCTCCATGTTCTAGCTCCTAATGGATCAGAATGTGGATTACAATCAATCGACACGAAACTGAAATACATCCGACTGGCCATCCCCATTTTTGACAATGAGGTACATTTTCTTTTTTTGGATATTCTTTTAATATAAGTTTATATCGTGATCTCAAACGATTAATTTTTCTTTGGTTTTCATCCAATAAAATTTACTGTTAAAGCATGGGAAATGGTCGTTTGCAATTTCCAACAACTCGCCAGATAAAGAATCTGTACATACGATGGTCATATTTAGACCCCGTGTGCGGGAGGATGAGGTTCCTATTCGAACAAACGCTTGGGTAAAAGTGTTTCACGAGTATTCACCACCGCGTATTGGCGTGTATGCTGAGGTCATGTACGGGGGTCACCCAGTAGTGAATGCGAACGTCACGGCACATGTGTTCCAAAACAACAGAAAAGTGGTTGTTATTCCTCTAAGAGATACCGGTGGTGGTAATAATTTTTTTTCTTTGGTGTTATCACTTTATCATGAGTTCGGACAGCAATGTGCACGTATCATTGTTTGGTAGCTATTCAATTCGAACATTGTTAAAATTTCAATCATTATGGTAGAGATTTTGATGATGTATACTATCAAATACGTTGAGCATAGATTTTTGATACTTTTTCCAGGTGTTGATATTATGAAAGAGGATGGCATTTATTCCAACTTTTTCACGGAAATGGACTCTCATGGAAGCCATTACGTGGAGGTTGTAATAGAGGATGCTTATAAACAATCAGAGATCCACAAAACCTACGAAATTCAAATCCCAGGAGAAGAAGGAATCTCACCAGGTAAACATCTGGAAGTCGTCAGTTAATGCATGAGCAAGAAAAACGGGAAAAATTACCAAAACATGTATTTGGCAATCATTGACTCGTTTGATATAATACATTCCTTGCAGATGACCTTGATATGTTTCATGCGCCAAGACTAGAACATCAGACTGAAAAAGTAAAACTCAATCATGGTCTGAAAAGGTCAACGTCATCGGGACAGTTTGATATAGATCACCGGTGGGATCTAAAACCTCAGACGGACCAGTATCCACCTGCCAGAATCATTGACTTAACAGTCGATAAAGTGGATAGGAAAAATAGAGTAGTATACTTGTCTTGGACGTCAACGGGCGAGGATCTGGATACTGGACGAGGTTTGTTTCATTTAATGAAAGAAACATTATCTGAAACTCCCAAAAGAGAATCAATAATACTTTGCTTTCAAAATGTATATTTTCTAAATGTAATATTTTGTAATGAAAATTGAGATAGTTTAAAATCCCGGATCTTATATTGAATTTGAACGCTGAATGTCAGATTGGTGAACCCCAATTTGTCTTTGAAAAAAATTAAACATGGTTTGGGCATGAGCAGAACAAATATAGTCGAGATTTCAACCCCCCAAAGTAAATCTCACTCTACACAGAAGTCTGGGGATCCAGCAAATTTTTGTTTTCTTTTTAACTGTGTCACTTGGAGTCATCTTATTTTAGGTATTAATGAACTCTTTGTATATTATATGAACATTCTCTTGTAATGCATTCCATGATGTATCGATGAATTTACAGAAAGTCTTTTATTTTTTAAAACGCATATTGTACCATATTGCAGCAAGTCACATGTTCAGAATTTAAAAACATTATGATTATTGACTATGTGACTCTAAATATCGTCAAAAATTGTACAGTCAATTGAGGAACATTAGAAAATTGTATTTTTTAGCATCTTTCTATGAAATTCGATACCATACCAATGGTACAGCACTTCTTCACTCCCCTGAGGATGCGGAGTTAGTGAAGAAGGTGGATGTTTTAATGGGGAGTTTGGACAGACCAAGAGAGGCTGGTCAAATTGAACATGTAGCTGTACAGTTTCCGCGGACCATGAAATGGGTGGCCATTATGTTAAGATCGGTTGATAAAAGCATCAATGTGGGAGACTTCTCAAATATGGTAACAACGTTCTTCGAGTTGTGAGTGACTGTTTGAAGGGAAAAAGAATAAGAACTCAAGAAAAAAAAGACAGTTTTTCTTGTATACAGATAGCAGAACTCTTGTATAAAATGAATTATTGAAGGAAAGTACGAAAGATGAAAAGAAATGCTTTCAAAGTGCAAGAGTCTTCATCACTCCGATGCCATATATTGCACTGTGATATGAATCTTGATTTCACCCATTCTTTCATCAATTCTTATGAATTTCAGTGATTCTACATTTTTTTAAGATGAATAACACGATTGTTTTAAACTCATCAGATTCATGGAATAAATGAATGTCTTAAAATCAGACGGTATGAGTTTTATATCAAGCAATTGTTGTTCAACTATAAATATTTTAAGTACCGCGGTTCGATATTAAATCAACTTCAGTCAACAATACTAGCTAATAAGTTAAGATACATGTTACAGTAGCATTTAAAAATGTATTTTTGAATACATTTTGAGGGATACTAGTATAAACATATTTTCTATACTGTGCTATAATTTGCCATTTCAAAATTTCTGTTACGCAGGTCTTTTACCATATATTTTAGATATCTCCCTGGCTTTGGACAAAATGTACTAATAAGACTCATTTTGACTTAAATGAGCCGTGTGTCTAATTAACATGATAACATTTGCTGAATCTTTTTTGAATAAAATATATAATTTGGTTATGGGTTACTTTTGATAACACGAGTGAAGGATAATAACTACATCAAACAAAATACGAGAGTATTCAATTTATTTTTGAAAAATAAACCTATATATATATATATATATATATATATATATATATATATATATATATATATATATATATATTGATTGATTGATTGATTGCACCAAATGGAGAAGGGAAACCGAATTTGCATTTCGTCAGCATATAAAGTTATGTGTAGATAAAGGACTATCGGTTTTGGCATGTCATAATTTTTATTCTGCGCTTGCTTGCGTCTATTGTTTTTTTTAATTTCCAAATTTTAAAATTAATTATGCATAAATAATATTAAAGAGTCTCACTGCAATCTATTTATTACGGTGATATCCAATTTTTTTGCATATCACATCGTGTGTTGTCAAGCTGGAACTATGGACAAGTTTTTCATGCCTGCGCAATTAAATTCAAACGAACAATAATTACTAAAGGGAGAGAAAGGGCGGTAGGTGTGTTAGTTTTCTTTCGATCTTCTACTGGAACATGTCCAGATATGAAAGAAATAAAACGTCTCAAAATGATATGAAATATTTTAAAAAATTCGTGTAAAGTTATGATTTAGGAGGATGAACTGAAAATGTGCCATTGTTTGTTTGTCCCTTTGACAAACTGTGTTTGTTATGACCCATCATTATATACTTTTCAATGTTTTGCTCTGATCTTTGTTTAGTTTCCCGTTTATGTACATTTGTATCTTTATACAAAAATAGCTTATCTTGCATGTTTGAACTTTGACGATAAACATAAATGGTTTTTGTTACTCCATTCATGTATTTTGAAATTATTGAATCTGTCTAAAAGACTAAGTTACTTTTTCATTTATTTTGTATTCTAGCTACTGGGAGTTTTGGTAACCATGTATTGCAATCTATGGTTACTGTGCTCTTACACAGAGATCTTTAAAGATCGGGGGGGGGGGGGTTGTTAGGGCGATGAGTTGCACCTTTTACTATTTCTAAAAATACTTTATCCATATGAAACAAATGCTTGGTAAGATTTGCTTATATGGCATCAATGATCAATACAATCATTAAAATCAGTTTCAAATTGTTTTTCATTGCAGAAATTCCCTCCATTTTACATCTCTAAATCGCATAGTTCTCTTGCATTTTTAATCTTGTTCGGCCATATAATAACATCCCTGCTGAGCTTGTGATACAGACAGGGCACTGACTTGTGACCACTGCTTTCAACGGTGTCTGTATCTGTCTCATATCTATAAGCTATTCTCCCAGAGACCTTTGTCAGCTCCGCCAGCAGATCTATCTTCTCAGACTCTGTGTCCAGCGTTTCGTTGAGCTGAGCTACCAGGTTTGTGATCAGCCATCCTCCTTGTTTATCTCTGTTGTAAGCCTCCTTTCCTAAAGACGAAGTAATTTACTTTTATTGCTCTAACTCTTCTTTTACTTCAAAGTTCTAAGAATTCCTTGACCTCTAGCTTTTTTTCATTTAAATGAATCCTTGAGCAATCTGTAAGCTTTTACCCCCCTCCTTTCAAATCATATGTTGCAATCATTTTTATTTTACCACAGTAAGAACATTGCAAAGTGGACTTTTGATTTTCCTTTAACAGTAGAATATAATTTTGGAACTACCTGAACAACATTGAAATTTTGAACTGTAAGATAATGATCTTTTTTTAATACATGAATGGAGACTTTGAATTCTTTAGCATATTCTGATATTTTACCTGGAGCAGAGGCAAACATGACTAAAGCGTCATTGACACAAGGTGGTGGATCACTTATTATAGGCTCTGGGAAAAAGAAATCCAGAATCTCTTGTTCAAACCCTTGACATTTATTCCCTAGTTCTTTCACCTGATCTTCTGTGAAACCCTCTGCACGTAAAGTCTCATTTAATTTAGTGGCTGTTTCATCTGTCTTCTGTGCTTCCTGTGCTGAAACTGTGAGGTCGTTTGACAGATATGTTCTGTAATCCAAGATATGTCTATGTAGTACTGCAATTTTCCACTGCAAACGGAAATCAAAAATTCATTATTAAGCTTGCTCATAATTTCATAAGTATTCAAAATAAATGCTCACATTATGAAATCTCTGAAGAAAACATAACATGAAAATGACTAGTTTAACGAGGTTCGCTCCTGAGCTTTTGAGCAGATTTTTATCTTAACCTATATTTCAAAAATTCTGCATAATGTTTTAATTCTCACAATAAATTTGGATTCTACAATGCCAATTTAACTATATTCAGTTAAAACTCCATGATTAAATTCCATACCAAAAGCATTGAGTGAGGAACTATATTTTGTGGCGGAAGGTTTTTTAGAAGAAAATGATCATTTTTTCTCTTTCGAAGTATTTAAAGTATGTTAAGTTTGGATTCCTATTTTTACATGCAGGCTGCACACATAGTTATTTTGTGCAGTGGACTGTTTTATACTGGTACTAAATTATCTATTAAATAAACTGTCATGGATTCTATCATCATATTTGATAAATATAGCAAATATATTGTGGAAATGAAGAAAAAAATAGCCCTAATTTAAGCTTAAAATTAGCACTATTTTAGTAATATCTAAAAATTAACATCACAGACCCCCACTTTTAATTTTCTTTTCTGAATATATACGATACTTTTAACCATTCTTCTTAAATTCAGTAAAATGTCATTACTTTCAAATGATTTTTTTGCTTGTTAAATTTTAATGCCAGAAAAATGAGAATGTTTGAGTGCAAAAAGGTCAAATAATTGAACATGTGGAGTAATTCGAAAATTTCTTCGTTGTTACAAATTTTAATGTGTCTATTTAAGATGAAATAAGACTGTGTTTGTTCACCATAATTTATTTGAACAAAAAATATTGAAGGAAAAACTTTAAAAATTGATTTATATGTAAGACGTATTTACAGTGCAAAAAGGTCAAACTAAATGCTCTGTAGCGCCAAAAGAAGCGCATTGACCCCCATTTTTTGTTTTGATTTTTAATAAAGCTATGTGTATAAATTCTAAAAATATACTTGATAAAAAATTCTCATTACTTTTGATGGTAGGATCCAACCTCCTTAAAATTGTTACCTCTGAATTTAAGAGCAAAAAATGATATTTGTATGGTTTGATAATCAAATTCCAGAGTCATAACTTTCCCTTGTATTATCTTGCAGCTTATTGCAAGTTTGGCAGATGACACTTGGGGAAACTATACATAAATGTCTAAGATCTTGTTCTGTATGACTCGTGACTACAAGTTGGATACAGTAATGTGTTAATGCTGAACTCGGATATAGCGAATTCACACTTATAACAGTCATATTTCTTTTAATACAAATAACGAATTATTAACTTTGAAATGAAAGCAATTTCAACTCCCCTGCAGATAGGCTTTTATTTTAAATAAGTATGTAGCACTTTATATTTACTTAGTAATACCTCATGAATTTGTTTTAATCTGGTTTTTTGTTCCTCTTCAGTCTGATTCATTTTACTTCGCTTGGCGTCTGATTTATCCAGCTGTCGGGGTTCCCCAGAGGCATCGTTACAGTCGGGGCCCTCGAGCTCCTGAATGTCTACAATTTCCCCCACTGGGGTAAACACATTCACAAAAACTCCAGGATCAAAATTTTTATGACCATCTAATCCAAAGCGGCTTCTGCAAGCCTAAAATACAAATAATGTGAATACTTTCATTGCACTAAATTTAGAATCATTTTTAAATATTTTCCGTTATGGTTTAGAGAATTTTGTATCAGGGAAACTTATCATTTTAGAGAAATTTATAGCAGACCTGAGAACCAGAGTAGTAAAAAATAATTGAACATTTAACATCAGAAACTGATTCTTTAAAAAAACCTTCATGACACTTCCACGAACATAGACCGTCACGGTAGCTCAGTCGGTAGAGCGCTCGCTCCGTGATCGGAAAGTCGTGTGTTCGAATCACAGCCGCGACTGACTTAAGTCAATAAAAAATAGGTAGCACTTGTTCCTTCGCCAAGCGCTCGGCACTTTGAAGTGAGAGTTGCGGGTCCTTTGGATGAAACCTTAATAACCGAAGCCCCGTGTCACTGTAGTCGTTGGTACGATAAAGAACCCTATCTGCTCAATGGCCCTGATTGCCTAGTAAAGGTCAAAATTTGAAGCCCTTCACCGGTATAATTATGTTTGACGTCTCTGAGTGAAAAATTTTCGAATGGGACGTAATACAATATACAATCAATCAATCAATCCACGAACATAACATGCAAAATATATATAGCAAACTCTTTTCCTAAATTTGCTTAAAATAGCACAATTAAAAAACTCCTAAAGTTAAAGTAGCTTTCTTGACTTAAAAGTACATGTAAAATTAAGAGAGCACTTTATTACCTGAATAAAGAAAAAGCAGGGTTTGCTTTTAAGAGTTGGACAACTCTGGTGATCAAACATTTTGATAATGTCCCTGGTTAAAAGAGACTTTCCATTATAGAAGAAAAGCTGATGCACCATTTCAGTCTGAGAATATTCTTTTTGTACGTTTCCAAATGGATGTTCTTCAGTTTGCTTGTCCTCTTTTATCACCATAGGTACCTCTTGTCCGTGAGTACTGATAACCAGTACAAAATAGCTGGGTTTCATTTTATTACACCTTTCTATTCCTACAGAGTATTTCACAAAGATGGTATATATTATCATGCAAACTAGAGTAAACATCTATTGGGAGTGTTAATTTTACGCCTTACTACAGAGATTCATTTGACAACAGAAGTCATAAGAGAATGAAAACTGTCACATGAATAAACACAATTTTCGTCTTACCTTCTTTTAAAAATTCTAGTGCCTCTTGGTCTGTTGGATTTGTTTTCTTTTCAAAAATACACCCAAGACGTTCAAAAGTTCTTTTAATCTTTTCGTATTCCATACATGCGGAATGTCTATTCTCTAAAGATATTTCAGAGTTCTCTTGATCAAACTCTAGTACACCTATGTAAAGACACAGTCCAGGACTCTCAAAAGGATAATAGTTGCCTTCTTCAGCTCCATCATCTTTATCTGTGGAGGAAATGATATATGTACAACGGACATTATTACGAGGAATTATATTTCTGGGGTAATATAACTTCCCTTTCTCAATTACAAAAGTTTATACGATGAAGCCTTTATATTTCATGATCCAGCAGAAATATAAAATCTTTCTGCTTTATATATATGCTCAAAAAAGTTAAAATTTGAATTACACGTTACTAAAGAGATAGTTTAAAATGAATAATAATGAACTTTTCTACTTGCTTAGCAGATACATGTATAATACTGTAAATCACTTTTTATTCGCGAAAACTTTATATTCGGCTAATAACGCGAATCTGTCCCCTCGCAAAAATTTTATTCTCGCATATATTTATATTGTTAAGGATTACTAGTATATACAGTAATCACAACTACTCGCAAAAGTTCTGTCTCGCTAATAAATACCAGATATTTTTCTCGCGAAAAATAAGGTGTCTAGAAAATATAGTGATCTACAATATTGCGACTTACTCGTAGACATTGACTGCTTTAGATTGTTTGTTGCAGGAGGGGGATACGTCAAAAAATCTTGTGTAAAGTTCGTGTTAGGAAATCCGTGTTTTGCGATCTCGTCAAAAATTTGTCCTGCTAATCTTTCAAAAGTATCTGGTGCATTTTCATTTAAAGAAAGAATCATTTGAGATGCTTTGTGTTTGTGAGTTTTTCTAGGCGGATATTCCGTAAGGTGCTCATCACTGATGAAGTACGGTTCATTGCGAATAGGTTTTGGAAAGAATTCCTGCTGTAATTCCTGGCTTATATTACAACCAACGAACAGGATGCTCTCGATTTGAAATCTTACTATGTCATCTTCTTCATCCTCAAGCAGCTCTAAAGTGAAAACAAAAAACCCCGAACATTAAAATTTAATACATTTATGTCTCCTAAGCTTGCGTTGATATAATAAATATGTCCGGATTAAGCAGAAGCACCTCCTTTAACGATTTGTTTTGTATGATAATAGAAAGAATTCCCTCAAAACAGAGTACTTTATAAAACAACTTTTACAGGTTATGAAATTTAAAACATTGCTCATTGGTTGAAACATAAAACTTAGTGTTTTCCCAGTCCTCTGACTGAATTTTGTGATGTGACTCAGAGTCAAGGCGGTTATACACTTGGTATAACATGCTTTGAATCCACCCTATCCGCCGTTTCTAACCTTAAGACTCTGCATGGGTCACGATTTTTTGACAGAAATATAAAGAAATCATGCCACATTGAAACATTCCCTATGGTGGAAACGCTTTGCTATACCGTCTAGTTTATTGTGGATTTTCTTTGAACCCTCATTCCATAAGCTGTCCCAATAGGCGTTATCTGTAATGACTATGAGAGACTTGCATCTCTTGAGACTTTCACCAAATCTCATTCCAATGGAAGTTAGTTTCTCTGAAAGACAGGCATTTAATTTTCATCCAAGTGATGCTCGTTTTTTTAAGTCCTACCTTAATCTTTATTAAGAATGCATTTATTCAAGAAGTCCATCAGAAAATGAAAATGTTACTGGAAAAGTTTAGAAAGAGCAACGATACAGTAATATAAAAAGAACTTTTTTAATCTTTGGCGTCATAAAAAAACCCTGACAAAGCTAATTTTACTGTTCAGTATGAATGCTTCCTCGATGCCTGCGTCAACCACATGCTGCTTTCCGAGTTTACTGGTGATGTCCTCTACTAAACATTGGACCGTGTTTTTATTCCTCACATAAAGTAAACCTGCATGGAAGAGACATGTTAAAATATTTATTACACATAATGCCAGCTATTATATTAGTTATGATTGTTAATGATATTTAGAGAATGTCTTTTTTGGTATAGAGAACCTAATGCATTAAGATACGTGCTAATATATATATATATATATATATATATATATATATATATATATATATATATATATATATATATATATAGCTGAAATATGGAGATAACGAACAGTAATCTGCAGGCTCAAAAGTCCATTGAAACAATACTAATCGTGAGCAGAGCAAACACAGACCTCTGAAAGCATCAGATGATCAGATCAGGTGCCATGGAAGAGTAAGCATCCCCTGTTGACCGGTCATGCCCGCCGTGTGCTCCTTGTCATGATCGGGCAAACGGAAAAATCCGTAGACAATTCAGTATGTAAATAATGAATGATAGAAGGATGAGCAACGGATTATCGCCCGAAATCATACACGGTAAATTGCCATCCTAAATTCCTACTTATTATAAATTCTTGTGGCGGAAGAAAATTCAACTTCCAATCTCAAAGAAAGTCTTTCAAATCGGGAATATAGAGGTATGTTTTATGAGGTTACAATACAAGAATCTGAAAATCTGTCTGGGCGAAAGGAAGCGTATTGAGTGAAAGCATATCTTGCATGGTAATAATTTCCATTGAGAAAACAACTAGCATTTCGATATATTTGCTTTCACCAGACAAAGCACTAAAATGGACACACTTGGTGAAACTTATTAGGAAGCATTTTTCTTCTCCTTGACTTATTAATGTTAATATGATTAGTACATACATTGCACTAACATTTTTATCGGCGTTTCATTGAAAATGAGGTTACAACATATTTAACAATGAGAATGTGATATGAAACGACACGGCTTACGAATTCTTGAAATGGTTGATACTTTCAATACCTGGCAAATTATTTACACATTTTATAGAAAATTCTTTTCCTCAGTCTACAGTATCATTTTCGTTGCCTAAAAAAGAAAAATATGTTATTTAAAACACATACTTACCTATTTTATCTGTCATTTTGTCTGTAGGCAAAACAATTTTCTATTCGTTTCTTTCAGGAAGTTAATTGTGGATCTATAGCTAGGGAGTGCATAAACCCTTTCACACATATTTTAAATAAATCAATTTTTAATAAACAAAATCACATTGAAAATTTTATAATTTCCGGGAAAAGATACAAATTGAGTGTACAGAAATAACTTGGGCAATGATACGTCTACTAAACTCTTGACATCTGTGGGAAAATGAATAAGCCTGATTGTTGAAGCAGGAACGACATGGAGTGAAAAGTAGTGAATACAGCGTTTAACATTGTGGCAAACGGAGATGATGAATAAAAGACCCATCTTGCAATTTTTTTGAATTCTTTTCTTTTTTCAAATGATAATTGAGAAAGATTCACAAAGATAAAGACATTTTATACAAATCCTTATCCTATTATAAAAGATTGTCCAGTTTTCCTGGGTGTTTTCAAGCACAACCTCGAACACTCTGTAAATTTTACAAAATTATATATATATATATATATATATATATATATATATATATATATATATATATATATATATATATATATATATATATATATATATATATATATATAATGTCCTGTACATACTTTGTCCACTTGATTGCAGTAAAAGGGCCAATTTCCTAAACTGCATGAAGAAAGATGCAAACCCCACCATCTTATAGCAAAAGAATACACAAATGAGATGTTCTACCAATCCTTTGCATGACAACTACATCTGAAGAACACCAGCTTACTATTTAGGGCACAACTGTACATCTACAGGGATACCTGTGCGAGGACTCAGGGACTATAGAACTTGCGAAATGATGACTTTAAACGAGACTGTTGATATACTTGTTTCATCAACTTGGGAACTATTTTTTTTAAAGTACAGCTAGATGATGGTACTTACATGAATACTAGGGAATAAAACTTTTAGTTGTTACCAGGTAAGCCAAGATATTTTCGAATTGCCTCGCATATGCATTAAGCTGGTCGAGATTCAGAGAACTTAACTATAGTTTGATTTAAACAATAAAATCGTAAATGATCGTAAAACTTTGTTCCCTTTTCCAATCCAACACACATCTGAGAAAATTTCAGTTTCTAAAATGATATTCGGATACCAACCTTTTTCCACTACACATGTACTGAGTATTTTAAAACCATGTTTTTACCCATTCATTAAGGTATCTTTACACAATTCTATAAGATACGTTGAGAAAATTTTAGCTTCTAAGAAATGTTATGATATATCCTACTTGATAGATACGTTATTCAAATTCCATAGAAATCCACTAAATCCAAATTATACCTAACATTACCAGTGAGTTTAGTCTGCGTGAACTTTTTCTACTACATGTACTTAATGATCCAATTTTTCAACCATGTTTTCGATCACTAATTAAAGTATCTTTCCCTATGTCGGTGTTCCAAGGACGTTATCATATTGTTCATGCAAAGCAGAATGTAAACCCAGAACTATATATAACTTACACTAATTCAAAAGATTTATATAATAATGTAATGTTTATATTGAGCTTTTTTCATATATACATGTATATATCAAAATAATACAATCATATGTCAAATGATGATCACATTGAAATATAGATAAATGTTAAAAGAGTGTAATTAACCTGAGGGTGATAAATCTAACATTTAATTTACACTTCTCAATGTCATTCAACAATATCAGTTACGAAGACATATCACAGACATATACCTGGTGAATGTATCATGAGCAAAGAAAATGAGATCAAAACTTGAAAAATTAAATAATAACAACATGACATTGATTTATCTGTTAGGTAAATATAGAACCAGCAAATGTTAACAGGAAAAAATTCATCTGGTACATATGTGACATTATGAGGTTCATTTATGAGATCAGACTTTGAACAAGGAAACCGGTAATGTATTTGCCAGTTACACACTTCTGTTGCCTTAACACCTCTTTTATTTGATATACTAATAAGTTAATTTTTCCCTGATACCAGTACATAAAAATATACATGGAAAAAATATAAAGCACTGAACATTGACTGGCCTTAAAACTGAGAACCTGGTGCATCAATTTGGTACCGTATAAGATTTACATCCTAAAAAAACTTAACCCGTGTATAACAATTAGAAAACTCTTGTAATAAACTGATACAACTGAAAGTAGTTACAATCAGCAGTTATCTTAAAAAAGTATCTTTTTAAAGCGACATAGAAACAGATTTGAAGTTAATATTTTCTCGAATTTTCTGTATAATATCATGACTTATATGTTGCTATAGCATTTCACACGGAAATATAATTTAAAAAACGTATTTTATCTGGAAATTATTGAAACTACTAATTTCGGAACGCGTTTGCTTGACACAGCCTTTCACTTTCACAAAGTAAACTTTATCTTTAATACTTGAGAAAAGTAGAAATTTTATTGTCAGTTCGTGTTCAGTGATGTGTGCAGAGTCTAATAAAATGAACACACCCGGTGAAACATAAACAATAACAAAGCCCGTGCCCTGTTTACAAATCAGTTTACGTTCCACCGCGGCCGGTTGTGTTTAATTCGTTAAACTCTGCACACATCACTGAGCACGGACTGACCATACTGGTGAGTTGGTTTTTGCTTCCTCACATTTCTACTCTAAATTATAGTTTTAATATTTTTCATTAATACACAACAAATCTTAAGTATCAAGGATAAATTTTACTTTGTGAAAGTGCAAGAATGTGTCAATCAAATGCGTCCTGAAATTCGTACTTACAATAATTTCCAGATAAAATAAGTTTTTTTTAAAAATTATATTTCCGTGTGAAATGCTATATAATAGCAACATATGTCATGATAGTATACAGAAATTTGAGAAAATATTAACTCCAAATCTGTGTCTATGCCCCTTTAACAGTTGTTACTGAGATCATGGTCAGAGAGCCAGTGCTTGTCTTGTAAGAGTTCCATATATCGTTGAATTCAATCATTAAAGAAAAAAAGAGTAACATTAAAAATAATTAAGATAGAAATTAAACAAAAATGGAAAAAGATGCCGGTAAGTACAATCACTCAAGATGAAAAGAGGGGAATAAAGATAGAATATGAAGAAAAAAAATGATTTGAAAAACTTTTTGCATACTGTAATTACAAAAATATATAGGGCTGGCAATGTTTGATTAATGGGAAATAAGCTTTATGTATTTGTAACATATCAATGATATCCAGGCTTGATCAACATATATTGGGGTCAAACTTGATTTTGTTCAATGACCTTGATCTGGGCCATATTGCACCCTCTGATAATAACCTACTTTTTGCCAAGTTAAATTTGTCAACATTCCAACCGTACGAAATAACGTATTACACTATTAGAACATGGGATCTTAACTTCTCCAGATGTCCTTATATTAAGGTCATTACAAAACCCCTGATCATATACAATATGAACTAATATTTCTCAATTAAAGAGTCGTGGAATAACTTATTTTAAACCCTTGTGACCTTGATCTTTCTCAAATAACCTTGAGTTAGGGTAATGCACATTCTCTGGCCATTAGGTATATTTGTGCGATGTATTTTTCCTTCAGAAGTGATGATTGCAACTAAATTTACAGAAAGCAATTAGATAGAAACATATAAACCCACCAAAATTATACGTACCCAGTCTTCAATTTTGCAAGGATAAAAAAAGAAAAAAAATATGTAATAGAAATTATTTTTTCTCAGAAACTTAATTAACGAAATAATGATTTAAAAAAAAAAATACTGAATGCTCAAAAGGAAATGGAGAAAATACAAATATAATAAATAAAAAGAAAGGGGCATTTAAAAGGAAAAAAATCAATTTAATTAATATTTCACATAATTTTTTATATTTGCGTTTTAAGGTTTTGAGGGTTCTTCATTGTTTAAGTGTTCTCAATCCATTTTAAAAAGTCCTTTAATTTTTCATCTTCCTTGCAAAATTTTTTGGCATTTTTTATCTCCTCTGGCCATATAATGACATCCCTGCTGAGCTTGTGATACAGACAGGGTACTGACTTGTGACCACTGCTTTCAATTGTGTTTGTATCTGTTTCGTATTTATAAGCTATTCTCCAAGAGACCTTGGTTAGCTCCGCCAGTAAATCAATTTTTTCTGGATCCGTACTCAAAGTTTCTTTCAGCTGAGTCTCTAGATTTGTGATCAGCCACCCTCCTTGACTTGCTCTGTTATAAGCTTCCTTCCCTGAAAACAGAGTCAATTGCTGCAGCATATAAACTATTTCTATAACATAACAAAATTTTGATATTCTTTAAATATATCAGTCTAACGGATAAAAAACCCGCATGAGTTACCATGGCCATGCTTTTCTTAAAATTTTGATAGATTATTTCCCCTTTATTTTCTTAAGAAATTTTTGACTCTAAATTGTGGCTCCACCATACCCCTTAGGGACATAATTTGAACAAACTTGAATCTACTCTAACATAAAACATAATCTGATCTTGAGATTCTTAAAAGATTTTTTCCTAAATATCCCAGTGCCAAATCTACATTCCTACTGTGGCCCCACTCCATACACAGGAGCCATATAATTTGAAGAATTTTGAATCTGCATTACATGAGGATGTTGGCATATTAATTTGACTAATCATGGTCCTGCTGTTTTTGAGAAGAATTTAATTCTATTTTCTTATATATATATACATGGTCCTGCTGTTTTTGAGAAGAATTTAATTCTATTTTCTTATATATATATATATATATATATATATATATATATATATATATATATATATATATATATATATATATATATATATATATACTCCATAACTTCCATTCTCAATGACCGTGTAGTGTGGGGTAGCGCTGCGAGAATTCCATCGGCATCGAAAGCAAAGCAAGTTTTTTGACTTGCCTAGATAGCCGAGCGGTCTAGCGCGCTGTCCCTGTACTGCTAGGAGACAGGTTCTGTTGGTCGAGAGTTCAACCCCGGGCTGGGGCGGAAGTGGGTATCCTTATAAAAAGTGAATTTCTTTGTGCTTTCTATATTAATAATTCTTCACTTAGGGCAGTTATGTTAGTTTAAGAGTTGTTGTAAAATGTGCTTTATAAATAAAAATTAATTTCATTACAGCGTGTATTGGTAACGATCCTCTAATAAAACTAATGTCCAAATAACTGTATCTCACGTCCATTCTCAATGACCGTGTAGTGTAGGGCAGCGCAGCGAGAATTCCATCGGCATCGAAAGCAAGATTTTTGACTTGCCTCGGTAGCCGAGCGGTCTAGCGCGCAGTCCCTGTACTGCTAGGAGACAGGTTCCGTTGGTCGAGAGTTCAACCCCAGCCCGGGTTGAACTCTCGAAGAACATTTAATGTATAAAAATGGGTATTTTTGTCCAATTTTCCAATGTTCTTTGAAGACTAAAGAGAGGCCAGTGTGAGAGGAAATGAGATGCGTTTAATAAAATGCTCAAGAACTATTGTTTTGTTTAATCCACATGGGGATAGTGAAAATGGGGGCAAGTACAGGCAACTAAATAGATTTGTTCCTGAGCACTATATTAATTAATTTGCAGATCCCTTAAATCATCCTATTTCTGTTGCTTTTGGGCAACATAGCTGCATTTGTCAGCTTATTTTGTTTTATTCAATCTATAGATCCGCAACAGTGATACATTATACTCAAGTGACCGTTAAGGCCCTTGGGCCTCTTGTTATGAATAACTATCCCTGTCCTCCAAGCAAACCCTTGGTCTTAATGAGGCACGGTATATTTTACTGCACAAGTGGCGAAGAGAACTATTTTTACTGTGGCACAAAAACATTTACTGTGGCGCTAAATATTTCACTGTTGATAATATTGTGGCTATTGTACACAGTAACAATTCGTGGAGAACCATGAACATATGTAATATCCTACCTGGAGCAGAGGCAAACATGACTAAAGCATTATTGACACAAGGGGGCGGATCACTTATTATAGGCTCTGGGAAAAAGAAATCCATAATCTCTTGTTCAAATCCTTTACATTTTTCCCCAAGTTCTTTCACTTGATCAAATTTTAGGCCTTCAGCAAGTAAAGTCTCAGATAAATTGGTGGCTATCTTGTCGTCTCTTCTCGGTGCTTCCTGTGTTGAGATGGTTGGATTCTTCACAAGATATGTTTTGTAATCTAAAATTTTTGTGAGAAGATTTTCCCCTTCAATCCACTGTAAAAGAAATTTTAACTTGTTTATAATTGGCTTATAATCAACTGTGAATAAAACACAGAATACAAAACTGTCATAACTATAAAAAACAATTGCAGGGTACCAGGCATGGGCACCATTACTGAAAAATGTAATCGATTAATAATCGATTACTTAGAGGAATTTTGTGTAATCGATTATTAATCGATTACACTCATTTTTGTCCTGTAATCGATTGTAATCCATTACTTTGGAAGGCGTAATCGATTAATAATCGATTACTTCCAAGTTTTTATCCCCTCAAATATTAATGTAATATTTAAATGTTAAATAGTAAGTTGATGATAAACACGAGCTGAAGATCGAATGTGTTCCTGCAGTCTTTTAAAGTTTTATTCTGGTTTAATTTCATATTTTAGACCTTGCATTCTCAGTAAATGCCCAAATGAGGGATTCTCTACCATGGAAAGTGGAGACATGGTTCCTACAATAAAATATGCCAAGGAATTAATTATTCCTTTCAACCTTGGATCTGAACCTCCATATTTATGGAATTTAATTGCAGAAATCATTTAATATTTTCTTGTGAATTAGAAGTATTTGGACTGCCTGCATGTAGGCAGTACACATAAAACATTCCTGTGTCTTCTTTCAAAAAAATAAGTAAATAAGAACTTTTAGTAATAAACATGTAATTTAAATGTGCCTTTAAGTAAAGGTAATAGCACAATTTCATTTGAAATAAGTGTTTTGAGAACTATTAATTGTTTTAATAATAGTGTTTGTCTTCAATGGAACTATCAATTATAAAAGTTAAACACTAGGTAGTTCACAGTTTACACCTCATCTGTAAGTCAGGGATGTCTCAGTCAATTAATTAGCCATGATAAGCAAACACGGTGACACTTACTCCTTCTCTTAAAAATACACTCTTATAACCTCTCACTGACAAAAAAACCCTTACAATTCTGAATGAAAATATGAGAATGATTTTGCAAATTTTAAAAGTTTGAAGTTGTTTAAACATTTTCAGAAATGAAAATAATAAGTACTTCCATCTTCTTTCTTACAAGTACAATGTAGTTTATTTACCAAATTATTTATATTTAATACAGCACTTTAAATCTGTTTTTGCTATTTATAATTTTCTAATATTATGTTTTTCAAATATTCATTTTGAAATATGAAAAAGGACATGCAGTAAGAGGACAGTGGGTCAAATGTAAAATGCACACCAAAAATCTGTATATTTTATTAATAAATGGTTGAAATACACTTCTAATTTCTTTAATGCTAAACCAGTAGGCCTATAATGCAAATTTTATTGAGAACATTATTAAACTTATGATAATAAAAGTTAGGAAATCAAAACATATCACTAGGTGGTTTGTATTTGATATTTATTTGTGAATGACTGGAAATAATTCTTCAAAATAACATCCGTTTTCATTGAACATTTTATCTGTAATCAATTAAATTACGATTACAAGTAATCGAAAATCTCTTCGATTACAGATTACTGTCGATTACTTGAAAAAAGTAATCATTACAATCGATTACGATTACTCGATTGCGATTACCCCATGCCTGCAGGCTACATGTATATTTCAAAACTGATATATTTACAATATATGTACAATATAATATGTACACATATTTTAAAATTTGTATTTTTGTTTTGAAGACTGAAAAATAATAACAGATTTATTTCTTGTGTGTTTCTTAAGGACCCTCTCTACACTCCACCCTAATTTCAGGGTCCTTTTGTGTAGTTAGATTGACCTTTTGATCATTTGATATAGAAAGAGAATAAATTGTAATCTGCACTGTATGACATTATTTAAAATAAATTCAAGTATTCTAAACATTTTATTAGATCAAGATAGAGTAGTCGAAAACTTTATTTGCTTGTATTTTCTCCATTTGAGTACGTAAAAGCGAATTTTATTTACAATTACTTCATTATCTTTGAAAATTTTTCCTGGATAAAAAAGACACGCTCCCTATATTAAAAATGAATTAGTTTATTTCAAAACATCATCCTTTACATTATATAATTTTCTCAAAGTCCAAAAAACATTTTCCATCAATGTATAGAGAGTCCTTAATTGTTACTAATAATGCCTAGGTACCAGTACAACAATCATTTATTAACTATGTAGTAGTTTACTTTTATACTACTTGCCTCCTGGATTTGCTTTAATCTGGCCTCTTTATCTTCCTTTGTCAGCTTTGTTGTACTTTTCTTGGCGTCTGATGTATCCTCATGTGAGGTACCTCTTGAGGCGTCTACAGTATCAGGGCTCTCTATACCAGCCCTTATATCTCTTTCTACTGTCAACACATTGACCATCACTCCGGGATCAAAGTTCTTATGTCCATCTAAACCAAATCGGCTTCTGCATGACTGAAAAAATACACCAGCTTCACACACACATATATATTTTCTTTACAAACTCGTTAAATTCTTGCAAAAAAAAAATATCAAGGATATTTCTTCAGAAAATGCCTCCTAAAATATTCTCTATATTACAAATATTTCTAAATCATCACCAAACTCTAAATATCTTAGGATCTTTGTGAAAAAAAAAAAAATCTACCCTAGAATTTACACAACCATTTAAGATTTAACTCCAAGGAGAAGTAAATCTGGGTTTGAAGAAAAGTAAATCTTGAATAAAGTTAAACATGCATGTGCATGTAATAACAGAGCACTGCAATAAGACAAGGAGAACCTAATACCTGAATGAAGAAAAAGCAGGGTTTGCCTTTAAGAGCCGAACATTTGTGCTGGTCGAACATTCTGATAATGTCTCTTGTTAAAAGAGACTTTCCATCATGGAAGAACAACTGATGTACCATTTCGGTCTTAGGTTTCTTTTGACCTGTGATCCTAGATGGGTGCTGCTCAGGGGGCTCTTTGTTATCCTCTTGAATAACCATGGGTACTTCCTGTCCATGTGTACTGATAATCAGTACAACGTAGCTTGGCTTCAGCTTCTTACACCATTTAACTCCTACAGTATTTCGGAGAAAAGGAAAAATTCACAAAAGACTATACTAATATAAGAAGTTTAATCTGAATTTTTCTGTCTGTGCTCGAGAAAATCATTTTAAGGCAGAATTTATACTTGTTAAAAAACATATAAGGCATAAAACATAAATGAAATTTGTAACTCTAACCTTCTTGTAAAAATTGTTCTGCTTCTTGAGCAGTTGGATTTAGTTTCCTTTTTACGAAACATCCTAGCTCTTCAAAACAGTTTCTCATCATTTTAAATTCGTTCACTGAAAAACGCCTTTTCTCTAATGATACCCCAGCTTCCTTAGTTTCATATTCAAATACACCAATATAGAGACAGAGTCCTGGTCTTTTAAGGGGATAAGTATTAGCCTCTTCGACTTTGTCATCAGAGTCGGATGTGACAGCATTTATTCTTTGCAAAATAGAGATGACAAAATATACGAACAGTATGGAACCATGCATAATTCTATCAATTGTTGAAACTGCAAAGATATCTATGGGATTTATAGGAATACATACATACATACATACATACATACATATATATATATATATATATATATATATATATATATATATATATATATATATATATATATATATATATATATATATATATATATATATATCACACAAAGAAAATTCAACTTTTATTACCAAATATATAAGAAGAGCTTAAAAATTACTATATAGGGAAAAATTATTTATCTTTCATTTGCCCATCTATTTTGTAAAAGAATGCTTTGACATTAAAAGTCCTTTTTTAAGTTTTAAAGTTAATGATCAACAGTTGAAATAGTTCTAAGCAATAAGGATTCCATACTCAATGTCAAAATCCTCAGAATTTTCTCCTTCTTCACCTGGTTTTGTAGACAAATCTGAAGCTTTCTCTTGATTTAAATTTTCCACATATTCAACTTTTGGAAACTTTGGTTTTATACTCTGTATTGGAGTCTGTACAGGGGTAACAGTATCTACTTCATCTTTAGAGGCACTACAACAATACTGATTGTTGAAATTGTCCACAGTTTCTTTGGCTAATCTTTTGATACTCTCCTGAGTGTTGTTGTCCATAGATACAACCATGTGACATGTTTTTGGTCCAAGTTCAAGGTATTTTAAATCTTCAGTATAAACAGTGGCTGTTGAGGCGAAAGAAGAAGGAAAACAGGTCAGAAGTAGGTGCCGATTTATATTACAACCAACGAGCAAAAGGAACTCAATTCCATCATCTTCATCATCATCACCCAACAGTTCTGCATAAAATAATAAAACTAAAATCGCCTTAAGGTCAGACGACATGTACCTTAAAAATAAGTTTTGTATACATTTATATTATATCAAAAAATATTCATAATTGTCATTCTCTTATGATTTCTAAATTGTTTTCAATATGTTTTTTAAAAAAAAATAATTACACCAAAACATTGACATTGGCAATTCAAAAGATTACCCATAAGGATTATATAAGAAATATAACCCTCTGGTATCTTGCCAAAATGCCTGGTAACAACCCCAATTTTTGGTGAAGAAACTCGTTTAGGGATATCCGATCCTCAGCTAGGAAGTATAACTCTTAAATTTATTATTAATTTAAAAAGTCTCAAAATGAAGTTTGAAATTGAGATCTTTTCGTGCAACAATTTTTATTTTATGCATCTTAATATGTTTCAAGATTCTTTGAAGTCTTAGAAACGATCTTGTAAAAAGTTGACATTTGTACCCCATGAAACAAAAAAAAAAAAAAAAAAAAAAAAAAAAAAAAAAAAATGAATTCATTTTCAGAGAAATCGAATTTTCTTTTGTCTAGCATTAGATACCACAGTTTATTAGCATGATATAAAATTATGTGTGATATGTGATGTCTAGCAATGATAGCACAAGCTTTTTTATATTATGTATTATATAACAATTTAAGTAAAAAGAAGAACTAAACTACTGTATAAGCATAAAAAAAGATGCAATTTTCACCAAATGCCTGGATACCTATATCTTTTTATCCTAAATTATATTTGTTAATCAATTTTCAAATAGAAAATGCATAGCTGGTATTTTTATTCGCATTTCCTGAAAATATATTTGAGATTTGATAATTTTCCCTGTATAATATGATTAACCATAATGATGAACTTTGAAGAAATTCCATGGGTAATTTCACGTTACTATGTGAAGTCAGAGACATTTTTATGAGCATTTTCAATTACTTAAAAGCTGATTTTCAGAACCTGAGGATCGGAGTACCTTAAGTAGCTTTATTTCAATGACAAATTCTTGGGAAAAAAAATATATATTTTCGAGGAAGAGTCGTCTGACCTTAATGGAAAGAATATCCCAGCTGTACAACTTATCAGAGGGCAAAGTGTAACATATTTTCGAAAACTCTGCCATATATATATATATATATATATATATATATATATATATATATATATATATATATATATATATATATATATATATATATATATATATATATCACGCAGACACGAATTTGACACTTACTCATCATATTTTAAAATCATATAAACTTTTTAAAAACCACTAAAAACTCTCTTAGTCCAAACCATAGTTAAAGCCTTAATCTATATTTCACAGTGTAAACTATACTTAACACTGAAAAAAATCATTTGAGATTGCAACACATAGTTATGGTTAACAATTCTAAACTAAAGATAATTATTTAAGATTATCAAGTAGAGGAATTACTCCAGTAATTAAATCTACTTTTGTTATGCAGAATTTGATTTTCTTTTTATACGTTAATGATACACATTTTTTGTTGCCTCTTGTGAGATTTTGAATTGAAAACTATGGTTAGGAGTTAACAGTTGTTTCGATTCATAAACTATATGTAACAACTTTTAAATATTATAGTTTACGAGTGAAAAATAGTTTATGAACGATAAACTATCATTGAAATGTGAATCTTAGTTTATGTCTCAAAACTATAGTCTACTATCGTTAATTATAGTTTACGTCTGTTAAATACAGATTATGTGCATAAATAACAAATATATTAACTACAGTTTATGACCGAAATCTATAATAAACGAATGTAAAACTGTGTTTATCTGATAATATAGTTTCTTGATTTGTGAAATTAAAATGAAAGAAACTCTTAACTATAATTAACGATTGTAAATTATAGTTTACAAATGAAAATCTATTTTATTTTACATAAGGATAAACTTAAATTATCATTCATGAATTACAGTTTACAACCGTTAAATATAGTTTTACAAATGAAAATTATAGTTAACGAATCGTTACTGTTCGCACTCTATAAACCTAGAAACCAAAGGAATCATGCTCACAATTTAATGCATTGTGTAAGAAAGAAAAAAGTAAATTATATTTTTTTTCAAAAGTCAATAAGATTATGGTAAACAATATATATGCACATAATACATCTTAGAACGGCATTTTTTTGTATATTGATCACCTCATTTACTTCATTTACTTAGTATGCACAATTCATCGCAGCTGAACCAATCATTTTTTTTTGTAAAACATATTCCTTTTATGCTTAATGAAAAAAAGGAATCTGAACATATTTATTTTGACTCATATATACGATGGTCATTCAAAAAAAAAAAAAAAAAAAAAAAAAAAAAAAAAAAAAAAAAAAAAAAGAAAGAAAGAAATAAAAAAGAAGAAGAAAACATAGCTCTTCATAATACTAGTATTATTTTTACAAGATTTATGATCAGCACATTGTAAAGTGCAGAAGCATTTACTTTGTCCTTGTGTGAAGTTTCATTCCAATTGATTAAATGGAACTGATGTTACTTAATTTTAAATTCAACATGTTTTGTCACCACGGAGCACTCTTAACTACATTGGAACGTCAAAAACAACGTCGTGAAAGTTGCTCACAATTATACTTTCCCTCTTTATTTCTCGCAGGTTTGTAGCGCCTTATTAACTCATGAAAAAGGTCTCCATAATATTTGAGACATGGTTTGCTTATAATTGTTTGAGTAGCATAAGTTAGTTTCTCAGTGTTTTTTTTAAATTATTTACCGCATAACTCCGCTTTTATAAGTTCCACAACAATGAAGCGACATATATCACTTTCCAAAATGTTACCTAATCGTTTGACCAGATTTTAAATATAAGTCTGTTTCCTCACAGACTGTGCATCGTCCGATTCAAAAAATCTCTACCACTCAAACACTGTCTTTACCATTAATATACTAATACACGAATCCCTTCTGATATATTTCTTGGTTCCTCCATCATTTTCAGAGTTTGTTTTAGAGGTTTAATTTCCTGAGTGTGAAATAAGATTAAATGGCTACTCGCTGCTCCTTGACGTTCTTTAACGTCACCTTCTTTTTCGCTCTTTTCAAAGAAGACTTTCTGTGTTCTTAAACTGATTTCTCTCTATTATGAATCATTGTATTACATTACAATTTGGTACTTAAAATTATAAAACAAAGGTGTATTTGAACTTTCAATTTTATTTCGTTTAAGAGCCATTTGTTAGAGATATAACTATAGACATAATTAAGTGTATTGTTACAGAATTTCTCAATTTTGACCGTGCTCTATAATCCTGTTTTCGCATATTTAAATTTTAAATAATTTTAATATTTATCATGATATAGTTGAATGTTTTAATTCAAATTACATGGATTTTTTGTCAAAGTATATCTACCAAATTTGGTTACAATATGACAGTAAATAGAAAATGTTATGACAAAAGTCTACGAACTTTTTGAATGACCCTCATAAATGTACACGTCATAAATATACTAAGAAATTTTACCTTCCAGTTTGTTTTGGATTTTATTTGATGGCTCATTCCACAATGTGTCCCAGAAAACATTGTCTGTGATGACAATCAGAGAAGTTACATGCTTAAGCTCCTTTCCAATGGACTTCGCAACTGAAGTGAGTTTTTCTGCAATATTATATTGTAAATTTTAATTTATCTGATCATTGCATACTATCTATTCAAGATATATTATCAATTAAGTAAGGTTGGAGTCAAAATTGCTCTCCAAAACAAATTTTCAGTTTTTGAATATCGGTTTACGTGTATTACGTCTTAGTTATCAAATTTAACATAAAACGATTTTAAATTTTCCTGGAAGTAATATAAATTTCATATGCCTACGCCTATTCCCTCTTCGGCTTTTTTACACAAATATACACAAACAGGTCCTTCTTCGAATGACAAATTCTTTTTCTTGAATTAATTAGAGTCTATACTTCTGAAGTATTATTGTCAATTATATTTATCATGTAATTTCTTTATCATTTCTTTAAAAAGAATGTTATCGTATATAAATTGTGTTTTTATTTGTAATGTTGGAATTATACATTGCTTCTGCGCAGAACGGATCACATTCTTTAATTTTGCTCTGTGGTTTTCTGTGATTTTATTAGTTCTACTGTTCTGTTGTGTTTCCGTTTAAATAATGTATGCTCTTTTCATAAAGATACTAACCATTATGTCCCCGTATCGAAGATTCGGGGGTATATAGTTTTTGCCCTATCCGTCCGTCTGTCTGTCTGTTTGTCAGCAAAAACTTTAACATTGCTCATAACTTTTGATTGGTTGGAGCTATGGCGTTTTCATATTTCACATGTGTATTCCATGTGACAAGACCTTTCTTTGGGTACCATCATATTTGACCTTGGAGTTTGATCAAGTTTTACAAAATTTTACCCAACTTTAACCTTGGTCATAACTTTTGAACGGTTGATGCTAGGGCTTTCATACTTCACATTTGTAATCCATGTGACAAGTCTTTCCTTTGAATACCAACAACTTTGACCCTTTGACCTTGATCTTGGAGTTTGACCTACTTTTGAAAAACTTTTACATTGGCCATTTATTTTGAACAGTTGGTTCTAGGGCTTTCATTCTTCACATGTGCAATCCTTGTGACAAGACCTTCCTTTGGATACCAACAACTTTGACCCTTTGACCTTGGAGTTTGACTTACTTTCGGAAATTTTAACATTGGCCATATCTTTTGAACAGTTGGTGCTAGGGCTTTCATTCTTCACTTGTGTAATCCATATTACAAGCCCCTCCTTTAGATACCAACAATTATAGCCTATTGACCTTGGAG